ATTGTTTATCCACTCATCAGTGCATTGTCATTGCCTTTTTATGGCTGAAGAGTTCATTGTATGGAAGGGACCGCATTTTGCTTATCTATTCTCCCTACAGGGTCTTTGAAGACAACCTTTCTCTTTCATTTTTACTGTATTTACAGTCACTGTCTTGAAGTGTCTGTGCCCTCTTATGATCCCTTACTGTTATGGACTGAATGTTTGTGTGCCCCCCAGATTCCTAGGTTGAAACCCTAACCCCCAGTGTGATGCGTTTGGAGGTGGGGACTTTGGGAAGTGAGTAGGGTTAGATGAGGTCCTGAGGGTAGGACTCTGATGATGATATTAGTGCTTTTATGAGAAGAGACACCAGAGAGGTCCCTTCTTTGGACCTATGTCTATTTTTGTCAGCTTCCAGAACACGCGAGGAAATAGGATGTTTCAGACATGAGGAACAGATCCCTGGTTGTGGTGTCCTACACCTTGCTCCCTCGGACTCCCCACGCTCAGCATGCACCAGGGGGCGCGGCACGGACAGGTTTTCTCCGAGATGACCTCCTTGCTGGAATCTTCGGAGCTTGACACATGAGAGCGGGAGTTTTAGGGATCTGTGTCAGATTGGAGCAGGGCACCCGTCATGTTATATAAACGGTAGGTGTTCTCATCCCTGCAGTGGGGAATGGGTGGGATCTGGGCCTTGAAGACTTTCTGGAACAGTGAGGAGTGCCGACCCCAGTGGCTAGCCTAGGCAGCTGTGTTTTGACAGATGTTTTCAGTTTGGTTTGATTTGGTAACTATGGGTCATTTGAAGCAAGGTTTTTCCTTAATTCATTTTTTTAAAAAATTTATCTTGTACTTCTGCCACTAAGATGATGAAAATACATTTTAAAAATATCTAAAAGTCCTAACTGTATCTGTTGGAAGTCTAGAACACTTACAAATGTCCTTACATGCTTCAGTATCTCCCCCTAGCAGTTCTAGATATAATCTTCCTACTATCACGTGACTCTCTGTGCCTTTGGTGACCAAGTGTGTCAGGTGTTCACCGGGAGCCTGGGTTGTGCTGCTGTCAGGGAAGAGCCTCCCCAGGTGGTGGCTGTGTAGGACATGAGCCTGTCGTGTATTTGTGAGCTGTTGCCTTCTGTATTTGAGGTGCTGCGGGTCTGATCTGCTGTTGGCCACAGGGCCTATTCAGCACTTCCTCAGTGAGGTAATGCCTCCTTTTCTACAAGGTTCCTATAGCTGTGGTGGTCACTTTAGCTAGAGCAGTCCTGATAGCTGTGGTGGCTGCTATAGCTACAGGGGTCCTTGTAGCTACAGGACCTGCTATGGCAGTGGTTACTATTGCTACAGTGCCAGTCGCTAGGGCTATGGAAGTCTACATAGCTGTCTGTACTCATAGCAAATCACAGCATGGGATGCACTGCGCGGGGGCTTCCTTTGGTACGTAATTGTGAACGCAGAAGGCCGGTAGGAATACAAAACACAGTGTCATAGAAAATGAAGGCCCTGCCAGTGACCTGTGAGATAGTCTCTGAGCTCTCTCTGCAGTTGTGGGAAAGAGGGGTGGATAGATGTGCATGGGACTTGCGTATTTAAGACTTTTAAAAAATTATATGAGAAATATTGTTGTTTCACCATCTAAGAAGAACCATCAGTAATAGTTTAGACTGTGCTTGGAGTACTTTTTCTATGCATAAATATACATTTGTAAATATCTGTCTTTTTAAATAAAAATGGGATCATGCTATCCTAAAACCAGTTTTTTATTCAGTAATGCTCTGAATATTATTCTGTCATTAAAGAGTATTCTATGAGTAAAATATCATGTCACTGACTACATGATATTATGTTATGCCATAATTTAACTAGGGCCCTATTTTTTATGGTTTTCCCCAGCTTTTTACTACTGTACACAGTGCTGTGGTGAATGTTGTCATAGCCAAGAATGCACAACCTTAATTGTTTCTGTCAGATAAATTCCTAGAAGTCATATGGCTGGATCACAGACGGCTGACATTTTTAAAGATGTGACTCTTCAAGTGGTGCTGCCATTAAGGCTGTACCGACCTCCATGTTCCCTACTAGTAAGTGAACAGGTGCCTGTTTTCTCAAATCCTCGTCTCCAGTGGGTATTATATTTTTGTCATCTTTGCAAATTTGAGAAGAGCAAAACGCCATGCTGTGTAAATCTGTATTTGTTTGAATCCAAAAGAAGTGAAACACTTTTTTGATGTCTCATTACACTCTTAATATATTTTGTGAATTGCCTGTTCATGTCCTTTGTTTTGTTTGTTTGTTTGTTTCTACTGGGGTCTGTATCATTTCTCATTGATTTGTAAGGGCTCCTTTTACATTAGAGATTAGGAAGCCCTTATATATTACATAAACATTTTATTTATCCATCCGTCAATTGATGGACCTCTGAGGTCCCACTTTGTACCTTTTATGTGGATGTAGCTTTTCAGTTGTCATGAGCGTATATCTAGAAGTAGAATTGTTAGGTCATGTTTACCTCTGACTTTCTGAGGAGCCGCTAAACCGTTTTCCGCCGCAGCTGCAGCAGTTGCAGCAGTTTCTGTTCCCGCTGGCAACGTAGGGTCCCCGTTTCTCCACAGCCTCCCCGACACTTCTTCCTTTCCCTCCCCCTTTCTGCTTTCCTCTCTTCTTTCCTCAATACTAGTCCTCTAGCAGATACATAATTTGCAAATATTTTCTCCTACTCTGTGGGTTCTCATTCCACTTTCTTGATGATGGCCTTTGAAGCAAAACAGTTCTTAATTTTGACAAAGTCTGGTTAATTTTTTTTGTTGTTGTTGCTTGTGCTTTTAGTACTAAAAGTTTCACTTTCAATGTGATCTTTTCCAGTTCGGGTTTCTGGCTTTAGGATCATATTTAGAAAGTCATTTCTTAGCCCAAGATAATATAAATTCCTTACCCCTAAATTTTCTCACAGTACTTTATGGCTTCATCCATTTTATTTTTATTGGGAACTTATTTTCATGGATGGTATTGGGTTGGATGACTTTATTTTATGCCACCGATCTGTCCCTTGTCACAGTATCATCTTTTGTGCAGCATGCATTTTGTGAAGGAACTGGGTTCAGCCTGTGCTCAGAGGAAGTGGCAGAGCTCAGTAGCTAAACAGCACTCAAAGCCATGGCCTTCGCTTGGGTAACTCTAGTGGCAGGCCTGTGTGGCCACCTTCAGCTCGGGTTCATGCAGTGAGAAGGGACAGAAGGACCTAGGATGACTGGCTTTTTCTTTTCCAATTGTTTTCAGCTTCACAGTTTTTCAGCTCACATGCCCATCCCAGCAATGACTTGCCCACAGGATGGGCTTGCTGTTTTTGAGGGGGAGAATCACGTTTTTTTGTCATTATCTTAGGACAATGACTCCTACAATCACAAATGGTCAGGTAGTCAGGAACCACCCGAGCTGTGAAGTATTGAGCTTCTGAGTCTTGTTGACAGCCTGGGAGAGCAGTGCCAGCCTTTCTTTCTGTGTGCCCCTCGGGGGAGAGTAGGCAGGGGCCGTCCTGTTTACGTGCCATGCGACAGGCTCTAGCTCAGCAGTCCTGTGGATTATGATGTTCAAGTTGCTAGGGATCCTTGTAGCCAAGTACTAATAAGGGAAAAGAGACTCGGGAACACTCAGCTTCATTCTGCCTTGAGGTAAAAGAACAGGTTGAATGACTCAGACAAATAGTCCAAAACCTGGAAATTGAGCGACATGAACAGCACAGCAGAGGGGACCATTGACAAGCCAGCACCGTCAGACTCCAGACACTCTCGGGTGACATTCTCGTTGCTGCCAATATGTTAACACACACAGTGGCTCTCGTCCTCCTTTCTGCTCTGCTTTCTCCAGCAGCAGTGACTGTGTGTTTTTAATGCCTGCCACTCCTTGTTTTCCATATAGCCATTCATACCCAATCAGGGACCTTCGTGAAGTACATGAAACTCTAAGATTTAGTCCTAGGTGGGAACATAACAAACTTCATTTTCCCCTAGAATGCTTTTTAAAAATAGACTTTGTTTTTTAGAGCAGTTTTAGGTGCACTGCAACATTAAGAGGAAAGTACGGAAACTTCACATACACCCCTGTTATCAGCACCCCCACTTCCCGCCAGAGTGGTGCATTTTTGCAGTCCATGAACCCACATCCCCCAGAACTCTTTGGTCAAGGAAACATCAGCTTGTTGCCTCCAACATCCCAGGGTGGTTTCCCTCCATCCGTGAGCGTTAGGCCCTGAGAAGAAGAGGGCGGCATGAAAGCTGAACTCAAGCATAGTTAAGGTCCTGAAACGGCACCAGGTGCTTGTCAGGAAGTCTCGGTCTGGGGAAGGTGTGTGCCTGCGTGTGCAACTCCATGCAGTTCCCTTGCCTCTATAGATTCATGTGCCCACCACAGTCCAGATGACAGTTGTGTCACCACAAGGATCCTTCCTGTTGCCTCTTTATGACCACTGCCAACTCCCTCCCTGTTCCCACCAGCCCCTGTCAACGTTAATCTGTTCTTAACCTCTGTGACATTTCAGAGCCTTTTAAATTTCAAAATAGCAGATAAGAGACTGTGAGCCTGCATTTATGTTCTGAGAATAACGCCAACTATGGTTAAGGCACTAAATACTGGAGACACATGGTGGTATCATTCCAAGTCAGGCTCTCCTGGCAGGACCCCCTCTGCTACCTGCTGTGGCCCCATACCGCCAGCCTCTGCTCCCTCCCTGCGTGAGAGGGACACGGAGCGCAGCTGAAGAAAGAGCACTGTGCCCCAAAGCCAGGAATGTACCCGTGCTTGGTGGCCACCATTTTAATAACGAAAAGCTGCCCTTGGAAGCCGGGGCTTTGCAGGCGGCGGGCATAAGGAAGCAGGTCTTGTCATAGTCTGGTGGAAACCCACGGGCGATGTGCTGGTGGGTGCCTGTGGCAGAGGTGGTAGCAGAGGGCCTGGCCCTGAGCAGCAGGCTGGTCGCAGGGTCACAGCAGACACTAAGTGCTTTGTCTTTTCTCCAGGTGATGGTGGGTATGGCAGCAATGACGACCCTGGATCTGGTGCGTTTGGGTCCTGAGGTTTCTGCTGGCCAGCTCTGGTCTCAGAGTCGGCCTTCCCTGGAATGTTTCCGATGGAGAATCATGAGGCAAAGGGCGGAGGGGCGCGGCCACTGAAAGGAATTAAGCATGTGAAGATTGGGATCCCGGGAACGGTGGTCTGAGAGGGGAGCCTGCTGGCATGAGACCGGAGGCCTATCTGGGCCTCAGAATGAAAGTTCTCATGGAAAACAAGAAGCCCTGGCAAATGCAGGGGCTCTGTGTCGATAAAGCCTTGGGGAGGCGGGGTGTGGCGTGGCGCTCTCCCTTGCAGGCTCCCGAGCTGACCCTGCCTCTTCTCGTTTCTGCCCCCTCTCATTCTCACAGGTATGGTGGCAGAGACCGGCACCATTGCTGGGGTGGCCAGCGCCCTGGCCATGGCCCTCATCGGCGCCGTCTCCAGCTACATCTCCTACCAGCAGAAGAAGTTCTGCTTCAGCATCCAGCGTAAGTGTGGCCGCTCCCGGCTGGGAACCAGTCTCCTGTGGGAAAGGGACAGGCGATTCCCTTTCACAGCCTGCCGAGGGTGGGGACCACGCTTTTGGAAATCCTTAGGGACAGGTCTAGACTGAACTGAGTGTAAACCAGCCTGGAAGTATGGATGGGGCTGGATCTGGTGACCTCAACCTTCCAAGGACCCCAGCTCCCAGAGGCTGTATTTCTGTGGGGATAGAGCTTAGTGACGGTTGTGACTGTAGAACAGGAGGGACCCTGGGCTATAGCCATGGCCTTGGATCTCACCCAAGGGACGTGGGGCTTCCGGAGGCCCTGGGTCAACAACTCCCTGTCATGATGCTGGTTTCTCAGGAGCAAAAGGCAGCGGGGCTCCGGGGTCTGTAAGATACGCGCTCATCGTTCTGACAGTGCCCCTTTCGCATCCTGAGGAGTCACTGCCTGGTGGCCCGCTCCTCCCCCACAAGCCAGAAACTTTAAAATATGTGGAATCAATGTATTGTTCTGAAGAAGTAGGAATGCAAGAGAAGGAATAGAGTGGTTTTTTCCCAACCCTGTTCACACTAGATTTTTAAGACAGGTTGCTTTTGTCTTCCGCTGTGGCTGGAAGTCGTGGGTAAGTTGCACAGTTACAAATGGTGGCCCATGTCAGGGAGCTCCATGGTGATGCTGTTGATGGTGAATGAGAGAACCATACTGGTCAGTTTTGTGAGCAGAGCATTGACGCATTTTTGTTTGCTGAGTGGAGCGTGTCAGTCTTTCAAGGCTGGTGATTTTTAGTTCCAGTGACAGAACATGGCTCAGCCATAGTTTTTCTCTTTCCTCAACCCCTTTGATGTGATGGAAAGCTTATGAACATCCCCTAGGAATCTGCCCCTACCCGTGCTTGTAGGCCTCTGCCCTTAATTCCTGCCTGGAGCCGAGCTTCCCAGGAAACGAATCTGGGTCCCAGGATGCCTTGAGTGTGGGTGTTTCTGAAGTCCCCAACCATTTCTTAATCTGGTCATCCTGTTTGCTTCTTTTGCTCCCGTAGAACATTCTTGACTAAGGTCACCACATACAGCTGCACATACTGTGCACAGCAGTACTCCAAGGGCATTCGCGTGTCAGTGTACAATCTGCACAACTGTTCATGGTCGCCCCGCTTGAGATCCCATCTACCCCGCATGGATCCAGGAGCTTGGCTGTAGCGTGGTGTGAACAGGGAGGGGCAGGAGGAGCACTGGGCTGGGGGCTGGATTGTTCTTAGAGCTACCCCTTCCCCCAACTCAAAAGCAAAGGGACCTCAGACTGGTGAAAACGATGGGAGTCCCACCTCCTGATGGCTGGGATGCTGATATTTGGAGGGCGAACTTTGGGCTGCATTGGGCAAGGGGCCAAGGTGAGCTTGGTGTGGCAGGGGGCAGTTATGCATCAGCCTCCTGCGCTGTGCCTGGAGCAAGGAGCCCCAGGCAACCAGGCACAGAGTCACAGCCCTTGATCTCCGACTTGTTACATTTGGAAATAAAAAGTAGAAGTGCCCTGATACGGGGGTTTCTGTCCGAGAGGCCCCACGGATCTCTGAAGATGCCCCCTCCAGCAGGTGGATCAGAAGGAGATGGGAATTCTGGGACACAGCTCCCTCCTTGTGGCTTCCCTGTGGCTAGGGATTGTCATTTGAAACTGGTATCCCTTCCCTGTTTGAAGGAAGGAAGTGAGGATCTGGCCAGGGACACTTTGGAAGGACGACTCATCTGGCTCCCTACTGGCAGGAGAGGAGTCAAGGTTTTGGGGAAGCACCGAGGTTCCCAAGGTGGTCATTTGGGAAAAGATAAAAGGCCAGGTTGGGATTAAACCAGGGCTATAGGGCAAAGTTGGAAATTACTGAGAGAAAAATATATTGTCTATACGACTGACTAAACGAGTTGGTAGCTGAAATGTCATTTAGCAAATAACTGTTGCAAAAAAATCCCATGCCCAGTGATGTTCCCAAAATATAGGCCACAAAGTCGTGAGGGGTTCTGGTGGCTGGCTGGAGGGCTTATTTGGCTAGAAGCAGCACATCAGGTACATTCTTGCCTTATTTTCAGATCATTTTCCCTCCTGGGTGGCTGGGGGTGGGGCAGGAGGGGCACTGCCACTCTGGGCTTGCCTTCTAGCAACAGAGGAGTTGCGAACATTTCAGACAGCAGCAACTTTTGTCCCAGGTACCTCCACCAGTTTCCTGGGGCTACTGGAACAAAACCACAAACTGAGTGGCTTAAAACAACAGAAATCAATTCTCTCCAAGTTCTGGAGGCCAGAGTTCTGAAGTCAAGGCGTCAGCACGGCCACACTCCTGCAGGCCCTAGGGGACTCCTTGTCTCTTCCAGTTCCAGGGGGCCCAGGTGTTCCTTGACGTGTGGCTGCATCACTGCACCCTCTGCCTACGTCCTAAATCCAGAGTGATCTCCTCTTGAGATCCTTAATTACATCTGTAGAGACCCTGTTCCTGGAAAAAAAAAAAAAAAAGGTCACATTCACAGGTTCCAGGGATGAGCACAGGGACAGATCTTTCCCTCGGGGCAGGGGAGGCACACACCATTCTCCTAATTATAGCATCATTGCCCTAACAGATGCGACCAGTCCACAGTTGCCAAATACATGCACATTATAAAGTGGGGCAAGATGGCTCATGTGCCAAGGGGCGGCTTTGGGACTTTACAAAGCATGCTGGGGAAAAGAGAAATGGTTTAAAGCTGGGTCCATAGTTCCTGGTAAGAACCGCTTCCCAGGCATCTGGCGTTGCCTCCCTTCTGCATGTGGGTGAAAAGCCAGCCCTGTACCTCGGCCTGGCAAAGGCAGGGCTGCGAATGGGGGTGGGACAGGTTTCGGGCTGAGCAGACAGAGTGGCAGGGCTGGGTCCTTCACTGCTGGGACGTCAGTTTCCTCATCAAGGGCATCTCAGGTTCCTTCTTGCTCTGTAACAAATTGTCTGACCCAACAAAAGGCCGGAGACTGGCTTTAAGGCTGCTCAGGTGTCAGCAGGAACAGAGAGGGAAGGAAAATAGGTTGGTTTCCAAAGCACAAAATATCTTCATTGTATCTGTTGGTCTCTGTGAGGGCACTAAGGCAAAAGGAAAATACATTTTCACACCTCCCTGAAATGAGTGGGTGTGACCTTCTGTGAGTTGGATAGGAACCTCCCTGCCCAGCGTGTTGACCTTGAACTTCACCACCTTCCCCTTCAACCTTTCTTCCCGTGTTCCCTTCCTTGTGTGTCTTCCTCCCCAAGCTAGAGGCCAGGAATCCTCCTGGGTCCTCCCCAATCCTGGGCCATGAGCCATGCCTCCCTATCACCACTGTCACGCCCCTGCCTAGCCAGGGCCAGGGTCTCCTCACCTCCAGTCTGGAAGCTGACCTTTTGCCGATCCCCGTCTCCCCTACACGGCACCCTTCTCCAGAGGGACTTGTTTAAAAATGCCCAGGAATTGCTTTGCGGGGACCTGCCATGTTCCTTGCTGCCCTCAAGGACGTGGCCCGGGCCCTGAGCTCAGCATTCAAAGCCCTTCATGCTTTGGCTCCAACCACATCCTTCCCCATCTTGGCCCCTAGGCCTTTCGCTCGCGAGGGTGCCATGCTCTCTCCACATGGCCTTTGCCGCTCCCCCTCCCCCTCCTCACGTAGCGCCTCTCATCCCTGAGGCCTGGGCTGTCTTCTCCCAGGAGGCCGCCTGCCCCAACAGCCTGTGGTCCCACCAGTGCCTCTTGTGTGCTGCTACAGCGCCCCCTGCTGACCTCACTGGAGCCCCAGGGCGGGATCGAGCCAGTTGCTTTCCTGAGTCTGCGTCGCCCCTATCACTTTGGATGGGCCATTCCACGGAGGATGTGTGTGCCTCACCCACTGATGTGTCGCTGGCACCTAGGCCAGGCCAGCATCGGGAGGAGTCCTGTGGATGATTGTGCAGTGGCTGACCCCTAAGAAGCTGGAGTTGGGACCTGCCACCCCCGCCCTTCCTGCTGAGCCTCTGCCCAGAGTCAGCGTAGCTGCCGTGACATAGAGATGGGGGACAGCAGAGCACGAAGGCCCGGGAGTTGGCAGGTGGGCTCCAGGAGGGCCTGGCCCCACCACTGCAGCCCCCAGGTGCCCTCAGCCTCTGCTGCTAACAAAGGGGCCCATGCTTTGGGGACCCTCGGCTTCCCTTGCCTCTGCCCTCAGTGCCAAAAGTCAGTGTGTCTCACGGAAAGCCTGTACGGTTTGCTGCTGGGGGCCGAGTTCTTACTCCAGGGTTCTAAGCTTTGTGTCTTGCCTTCAGATGCAGCAGAAGGTCAAGGTAACGACTGCTTTGACTTACTCATTTCCTTTCGCTTTGGCCTCGACACCCCTCATCTACCTGCCCTCCCGCTCTTCTCTTCCTCGCCGCCCTTCACCCTTCCCTGGCACCCACCGACTTGGCTGTGACTACAGCCATCTCTAGCTTTCTCTGGTACACGTGAGGATGCCACCTGCCAGACCCTCTGTCCCCAGGCCAGGTGCAGCAGGGGCCAGGGATGTGTGTGGGGTGATGTCCTGTGGTGGGGGCTGCCTGCAGGAAGGAGACAACCTAGCGCGAGCCAGGTCAGTGGTTGGGCAGGATCGGGAAGGTGCACCCAGGGCAGCCTTCGTTGGGTCTGTCGCCTGCCCCACTCCACGTGGGGGCTGGCCACACCTGCCAAAGAAGCAACACCTGCAGTTTTCACAGGCCCATCTGGCTTCTACCTTGAGCCCAGCAGCCACCAGGGCAGGCAGGTGGCAGGCATACTTGTGTAGGCCAGGAGCCTGCAGCCCAGGATGGCAGAGTGGCTTGTGCTAGTGCCAGGTCAGTTGGTCACTTGGAACCATGGCCCAGTTGTCCTCCAGGAAGAGCTAGCGGTCTCCCGTCCCTGGGCTATCCAGGGATAAGGCGTGGACTCGTGACCCTCCCCAAGAAGCAGCAGGGATGGGGTCCACTTCAGGTCCTTGAATAGTGGCTCCTGCTGGCATCAAGGATGCTTTGTTGAGTCCTTAAAGCCCCCTTGGAAAGAGCTGTGGGAAAAGCCCGGGTAATGCATCAGACCAGAGCCGCTGTCGGTGAGCTCTGGACCGTCCAAGCTTGGGTGGGGACAGCAGTCATTCTTGCTGCCAGGAGAAGCTAGTTGGCTTCTGTACACAGGTGTTGTCGGGAAGTGGCATAGGTTGCTGGCATCTCCACAGTGAGCCCCTCAGCCACCTGTCCCCTTCCCGCCCTGCATCCATCAGTCTCTCCTGTGCTATTCAGCTCCCTCCGTGGCTCCTGGGCCGCACGAGGCCCTGTGGATGGTGCTGAGCCATTGGGTGCTGCCGGGAAGAGCTGCTACCTTGATGTGGCAGCTGCCCTACAGGGATGGGGTATCAGGGACCTTTGGCACATGTTGTTATTTCTGAGCTCGATGATAACTCCTGGGCAGTGTGTTCCCAGATGGCCAGCCTTCATCCAGATAGTGATATTCGGGGCTCTGTGTTCACTAAGGGACCTGTGCTTTGCTTTTTTTTTTTTTTTTTTTTTTAACTGTACTAAAGGATTTGGTCAGGAGTTCTCGATCACGGTTGGGGACCCTTCATTCTGTGCCCATCACTAACTCTGCCCTTTGCCCTTTGCAGAGGGTCTCAATGCAGACTACGTGAAGGGAGAGAACCTGGAAGCCGTTGTGTGTGAGGAGCCCCAAGGTGAGGACTCCTCGGTCACTCTCCCTCCCTGAAGGTCTCCTAGTCGGTGGCCCCAGCACTGACCAGAACTGTGCCAGGGAAGCACAGAGGTGTCTGCTTCTAGAATGTTCAGCCAGAGCAAAAGGCTACAGGGGCCCAGGTGTCCCTGTACTCTTCCCGGATCATCTTGCCTTCCAGCTTCATGAGACTGGGATGCTGGGGTGACAGCCAGGGCCATCTGGTGCCACGTCGATGACTTCTGGGCACAGTTGCTGCTCAGCCTCTGCTCTTGATTCATCTGAGCTGGAGCCAGGGCACCTCTGCCCCCGGCAATGGAAACAGACGCATCCTGGACAGATGCGGACAGAGCCGGGGAAGGCTTTTAACCTAGACCTGCAAGCTTTGAATTTCCAAGCTGCTGGAGGCAAAGGGGAGTGTGGTTAAGGCCCAGACCCTGTTATCGAAATCCATGGCTCTCCCCGCCTCCCTCTTCTGTGGTCATTGAGCACTTTCTGGGTTCAGGAGCTGTCAGTGATTTGAGGTTGCATAAGGCGAGGCTGCCGGCCTGGAGTAACAGACATGACCTGGGGCCCCAGAATGCCAGGGAGGAGGTCCAGAAAGGCTTGCCGAGGTGGAGCAGCCGGCTTTCTGTCAGCCGAGGGCAGGGTGGCGTGGGCGGGGAGACTAGGAGGGCCTGGACGCATGTGGTGACTGGAACTGCAGGGCAGTGGCTGTGGGGATGGGACTTGGGAGACCTGGAGGGCCCTGGCCCATGTAGTCGGGGGTGAGGTGCCCCTGCCTCTGCCTGGGATGGATGTCTGGCAGTGCTGCACTGAAGCGACTGAGACAGCCCTGGAATCCAGCGTGGAAATGGATTCTGCGGGAGCATTTGCTATCATAATTTTTACCACTTTTAGCCGCTATTGAGCGAGCACCTATATATGAGCCGGATGCTGTGTTTTACTTAGAATAATCCCTTCAGCAGCCACCAGGAGCATTCCCGTTTTCCAGATGAGGAAATGGAGGCTGAGTCGCTTACAAGGCCTGTCCAGCTTCCTCCTCTCCCCCAACCCACCAGGCCCAGGGTAGTCCTGACAGGGAAGGGGGGTGGGCCCCAGGGGGAGGGCTGCCCGGGATGGGCTGAGCTGCCCCAGCTCCTGGACAGGACAGAAGGGAACACAGCTCTCTTCCCAGCCCGGGCTTGATAGTGTAGCTGCTGCTCATGTGCAGGACAGAGCCGAATCCTAACCGGTCTCTTCTCTCCCCAGTGAAATACTCAGCGCTGCACACAGAGTCTGCGGAGCCGCCATCTGAGCCGGCCCGGATCTGAGGGCGCCCCGTTCAGCAGCAGGTGCCACCGCTTGTGACCTGGCTCTTTTATTTGGCCCCACAGCTGCTATGCTTCTCTTTCGATGCCATTGGCTCCTTGTTCTAAGCTTTCCGGATGAGCTCTGGGTGCTCGTGAGTTTGGTTTCTGTGCCCTGCCATCCAGGGCGGGGTGTCCACCCTGCTCTGAGAGACCTTGGTGCTGAAATTCAAGAGCCGGCTCTGGCACAGAGCCAGCTTTGGCGGCGACCCGGTCACCGACTCCCCAAAGCCAGCCTGCCCCCAGCCTGACCAAGCACAGGGTGGGAGGAGGCATGACGGGGGAAGAGGATGCTGGGGATGCCGACAGAGGAGGACACTCGTGCTTAGGGGGGACAAGAGTTTGAACCTAGGATACTGCGATCCGCCTGCATGCTGGAGTGGCTCACTGTGGCGGGTTTCTGCCACTAGGCAGCCCCCAGCAGAGACCTCGAGGAGCTGCCATTTGGGGGGTGCCCAGCCAGCATCCAGAGCCCCTGTGAGGAGTGAACAGCCAGCACCAAGGACCGCCACACGCACGCGGCACCCAGGGCGGCGTTTTCATTTGTCTTTCTCTCCCATCCCAGGTTTTACGTTGCTGCTCCAAGTGGAGGCCGTTCAGTTATTTAAGTGCAAACGTGCATCTCACGAGTCCTTCCCTGAGAGTTTAGCAATCTTCTGGATAAGTAGCAAGCTGGGACTTGCAGGCCTAATTCCCAGATGATTCCCTAGGGCACAGGTGTGGTCTTAGGGCTAACATGTTTACTCTTTAGGAATCATTGCTACATTGGAAATGTTTTAGACTGGGCAGGGGGAGGTGCTCACCCTCCACCTGTCTATGATCTCACTTTGGTAGCAAGAGCTAGACGTCGGGAATAAGCATCAAAGCCAGAAGCATGCTGGTTTGCTTAAACAGGTATTGGGGGTGGGGAGGGAAGGGGAGACATGCTGCTTGGTGTGGTGAGAGACATTTGACTTTCTAGCTCTGCGGTCAGCCTGCCGTCACCATCGCCTGTTCTGATGAAGAGTGGCTCCCCGGAATGTTCCTTTAGACCCCATGTGGCTCTAGCCCAGTGAGCTCTGTTTTGGGAGGCTGAGCTAGGGTCTACTGTTAATCCGTTTGCCATGTCACAAAGCACTTCTGGAAGCAGAATGAGTCACTGGGCAGGCAGGATCCTATTTACAAAACTCTCAGGCCTCTTTGGCTTAGACGATGGCCCCACACGTTCCAAGGATTTTTAAGGAAACCACTGGAATTCGCAGCCCCCATGTGCTATCTGATGCATGCCTCGTGTTCATTGTTTTAGAAACATCCCCGTGGTGGGCGGGTGGTCAGTTGCAGCACTGTGCAAGGCTGCCTCTCTGGGCCACCCCAGTGTGTGCCTGCGAGTTCTGAGACACCCCTCCTCCTGCTCAGCCCTTTGAGCCCAGGCAGCCCAGGACTGTGTGGCTGAAAGGGGGCCCGGGGCATTGGGGCAAAGCCATGAAGGAAGGAAACTGTGGCCTGGAGAATCTCCCTGTGCTTCAGCAAAGCAATTAGCAAGGCAGACGTTGCTTGCAAGATTGGCCTGTTTCCAGGGCTTCTCATCCTCATTGCCCAGATTGTCAATTTGATCAGGTTTGTCCCTCCCTGACACCAAGGCCATTGGCCTCGCCCCCTGGCCGGTGCTGGGCTGGAGGTAGCTATGGAGGATTTTTGCATCCATAGCTTACTGCTACCTAGACGACGTGACCTCAGGGGGGTTTCCACCTTACCTTTATGGTGAGGCCTATCCGATGGCAAAGACCTTGAAACCCTATAGCTGTGACATAAACACTCTGTGAAAACCATGTTCTCAGTAGCACTGACTTCAAGTAAGAGAGACCTGTTTTGCTGTCCCCTAGCTAGGTACCTTCTGCACAAAGCCCACTGCCTGCTCCCAGGCCCGCAGGCGGCAGCCCCTGGTGACTGGACATGCCCAGCGGACCCCTCAGCCTCCTGTTTGCAGAGCGCTCATCCCAGAGATGTCGCCCTCCCACAGGCATTTTAAGCCTGCTCTGAACGGTCACCTGCAGAAGCCGAGGCGGTCTCTTGTGACTATCTGAAGATTGCATGGACCAGCTTGGGCCTGTCCCAGGTGACAGGGCAGAGAGTGGACTAGAAGGGCCAATTGAAAATAGCTAATCGGTGTCAGCTTAATTTGGCAGAGAAAACTAACAACTCTGAGCACGTGCTGGCAAAGTCACAGCCCAAGGAAACAAAGCCGAGGGGCAGGGAGGCGGGGCATCCCTGGGGACACCTGAGGGAGGCTCGCCAGTTCTCCGAGGAAGGAATGGAGACTGATCTCAGAATCCCCTGTACATGTGTTTATGTGCTTGTGTCCAGGTGTGAATTGTGAACTGTCTAGTGTTTGCATTAAACAAAATGGCACCTAACCGATCCGTGCATTCTGATGGTACGAAGGCACTTCCTTTGTCAAGTGATGCTATTTCTTCCTAACGTAATCTGTGATGTGGAGCTGTTCTCATTCCCCCCAGCTGAAGGTACATCCCTAGGTGAGAATTCTTGCATTCACCCCTCAGTGAGCAGCTCAGTGTGGGGGGCTTCCAGGGGTGGTCCCCCATTGCTGAGCCTGGAGCCCCAGGCTCACATGTCCCAAATCTATGGCTCCGCCTCCTTCAGAGCCAGCCAGTAACCACAGCAGGTTCTGGTTATGTGCAGTTGCTCCACCAGAGAGCGGAGTAAGGAAGGGGGCCCTGCACCCCATTGCTTGTTGCAACTCCGTGGAGAGTGGCCTGTTTGGGATAAAGTGTGTCCTTGTCATCAGCTCGCAGCTTGGCTTGCGAACTGAGGAGACGGCTGGGTGTTCCAGTGTGAACAAGATACAGTGGACCCTGAGGTTGGTTGGTGGTTTTTTGTTTTGTTTTTGGCTAAACTAGGCTTATAGCAAAAATATACAAAGTTGTCAAACCCAAGGCCGCCACATGATTCTCCTTTGCAGAAGATCTGCAGGGCCAGTGGGGGCCTGGCTGCTCTGGCCTCACTGCTGGGGATCCTCTGTGCCAAATACCACAGCAGTGATGTGACTGGAGAGCGACAGGGACCCCCAGGTCTCTCTATAAGAGGGGTGACACGCAGGAGCTGGTACAATTTCATCCAGGCCTTTACAGCCCTGAAAAAGCAAGCAATCCTCCCAAAGAGTGGGGGAAACGGCGATTTTAGGCCTCAGAGCCCTGTGCCTGGACGTGCCAGGTGGCTCCAGACATTTTCCATGTCGTCGACATTTTTCTGAAGCTTACAGAACACAGGGGTATTTCCAATTTTAAAATCGGAGTACTTACCCGTTTCAGCCCAAACACTCAAGACTCAAATTACATTTAAAATTTAGTAAACGAAAATCACGGTATTTACATATATTAACTGGTTGGCATATAGAAAACATTCAATACATGTTATTTTATTACTAATTTCCTTCAAGGGAAAAATCCGAAATACTTAAAAAGGAGACAACAAAAAAGAGCAGGGAGCAAACATTTTAATTACAGACTGAAATACAGTGTATCAGATAAGACAAATACAATACTGTACCAGTTTTTAAAAACCTGAACCATAGAGGTTTCACATCCTAGTACACTTAAATAATGCAAAAAAAAAATGCTTAGGTAATAAAACTATGCTTCAAGTTGTTTTAGAAACAGTTCTGTGCTAGGAACATATGACAGAAAATGATCTGTTGTGCTTCTTTAAAATTGAATGGGAGTCTCCAGGGATCCCGCTGGCAAAGCCACCCCCACCTGGTGAGGGCTCATGGCCCAGTCTGGGTGCCAGGTTCTCCCAACTTGGCTTCTCTGGCTCTGTCATGGCATCGCTCAGTCCACACTACGTTTAATAGTCCTAGTTGGCTGGGGAGTTAAACGCTACTTCTGGGAAGAAAATGGGAAATGTCTTCATTTTTTAAAAAAAATCTATCAGTGAAAATATCCAGTTTATCATCTACTTTCAGATATGTTGGGGACATAAAAGCTAATAGTGATTGCACTATGATTTAGAAACAAATTCCCCAGATGATAAAAATGGAGAATTGACTTTAGGTTATCAAATCACATTGAAGAAATTTTTCTGGTATCTTACAAAAGGATAAGAATTTTTTTCTATAAGAATCAGAAGGTTTCAAATGTAAAAAAAAAAAAAATCTATATGTATTTGACCATAAAAACATTTAATATATTTTCAAAAATAAGGTCAATACATGGGACTTTGCATGGAATCCAGTAATTTGAAACCAACCAGCTAACGCTGTGATGCAGGTGTACTCGGGGTTGCCCTCTGAGCTTCTGAGGCCGCCTCTGGCTTGAAAGGTGAGCCTCAGGCTGGCGGGGTCCCGGTGAGCTGCGGCAATGGGCACAGCTCAAGGGAAGGAGTGCGGCCTGCTCGTGCCGACCCAAACTTGCACTATTCACTGTGGCACGTCACACAGAGGAGCTAAGGGCTCTAGTGCCCTAGCAGATGGGACCAGCTGACGGTAAACTAATTCCTGTGAGGACTGATGGTATCATAGAGCTCAAAGTCACTAAGTGAAGGTGCAAAAGCGGGAGGAGAGGCTGCGGTTGGCTCTGAGAAGGGAACAACCACTGGAAGTGCGTGCTATGCTTTTCCAAACCGAAGCCACGATGCAGTGGTTGCTTTCAAACGTTGACAGGCAGCCACAGGATAAAATCAGAGATTATTTCATACAGGCATAGAATGGGGAAAGGCAGAATTGCTTGACACAAGAAGCCGGCATCTGTAAAGAGGGGGAAGCACGGTCCGACGGCCCAGGAGTGACAGCCAGGTGGCCAGCACCTGGGCACAGCTTCCCCTAAGCAGAGCCGGGGAATCCAGGTGCTCGCCCTCCCCAGCAATGCACCGAGCCGCCTCAGGAGGCCAGTACCAGGGTCAGGTGAGGACGTGACACATTGTCGAAGCGACTGAATTCAAACCATTTCAAATGTACCACGTCAAAATTAGCATGAGGTTTAGTGGAAAACAATTTGTCACACAGTCCAGTTATGCTGATACCTCCTCCTCAGGTGACTAAACGTAAAAAAAGGACATAGGAAAATAAAGGCATGTTTCTCTTTTTTAAAAATACCTTATATGTACACAACAGTAATTGTCACAGGAGGACCCCTTGCACGAAGAGAACCGCACAATAGATGGCAATGGTTTGTCTTCTCCCCCAAATATTTCATTTAAGAACAGTTTCCACATTGTGGCAACGACCTGAAGGAAGCCATGTGGCTGGCGTTGTGGTCTTTAAGTGAATGGTGTCGGTTTTCAATGAAGGATGTAACTTGGAAAGAAATGGCATGAGACTTAAGTACTGCGTTCCATTCACTCCTCTGGTTTCTCCCAAGCTGCCTGGATGATAGGAAGTCACTTCACACAGTGGGTGTGACAGATGTCTCTGGTGAAACCACTGACAGGAGGGTAACAGGCTGTTCACAAAACAACAAGCACTTGCCAACAGTGGGTGCCGTCACCCAGCCACACAAATGGTCCCTGGGCCTAATCCTAAAACACAAGATCACAAGCTACAGCCATAACAGCTAGTACCAGGTCCCTTTCCTGAGCCACCAAGAGACAGTGGAGCAGCAGGATGGCCCGAGATGGCTAGCCTTGCCCGTCAGACTGAGGTGTGGACAGGAGTGGCTGAGTGGGAAGGCGAGGAGCCCCGCTCGGACGAGGATGAGACGGCACGTGTGGCCACCTCCCGCTGCAGGTCCTCTACCCGCTTCTGCAGCTCTGCCCTGACGGCCAGCAGCTCCTTGAGATTCTGGTGGATTGGCATCTGCGGCGAGCATGGACAAAGCTAGTTAACGGGTCGTTCTTACCACAGCGTTTCCACATCAGCAGAGCTGGCTTCATGTTTCACCACCACAGCACCTCGGTGTCACGGACTGGCTTCTTGCCCAGTGTACAGTGACCCTGTCCCCACGATATTGCAGGGCCGCAAAGGATGCCATGGGGGCTTGTCTCACCCTCTGCTCCCCTCCCCTGGCCTCAGTTGTTCAGGACACAGGCTCAGGTAGACCACACACCACAATCCATGGAGGGGGCCAGGTGCAGGCTGTGTCAGATGTTTGTTTATATGTTGACCCTGTCCCAGCCTCTCTAATCTCTGTATTTTTGCATTTTTTGTAAATAGCTCTGCTGCCTGAAAATACTTCTGTTAAACCAGCATTTTCTACAACTTCTGTGTGTTTTCATCAAGTGAAGCCCCGGGGGTGGGCAGCGCCAGAGGCAGGAGAGCTGGCCCCACCCCAGTGTGCTTCTCTCGACCCCACTGAGGGGCGGGGTTAGTTAAAGAAACGAGAAGGGTTTTCCTTGAGCCCCATTATTTTATGGTCATAGCACCCAGCTTACTCAGGTAACATACTATCCTCCTTGGCACCTACTGAGGCCCAGAGCCCCAGGACCCAGCTTCTTCCTCATGGAGCTCTCCAAGGCCATGTGACTCACCACTTAACACCCTCCAGTAGTGGCTTCTTCCTCCTGACCTTGGCCTCAAAGCCCTCTGCCGTCGGCCCCAGTCTGCCTCCACTCCCTCAAACACTGAGCTGCACCATCACGGGTGCCACTGCTGACCAGCCTTCCCGGAGGGATGGAAAGAGGAGAGACACTGAGAGAGGGTAGCCAGGGACCTCCAACATAAGGGTGCATGGCAGCCAGCACCAAGGAGCTAGGAACAAACGCTGCACTTGGGGAGGACAGCACTGGGGTCTGACAGCAAAGGCTGGGAGGTGGGCACCAGCTCCCCTCTTACCCTTAGGACCTATCTGGTATTTTCCTCTGTCTGTGGGATCACTTGATTCCAATCAGATAAGGGACCACTTTGCAATCAAGCTCCCATCACTGACGTGCAGGGGAATACACGATCTTACGTGCTCACAAGGCTACTCAAATGCACCACTATCATACCCTCACGCAGCTTTTTGTGTCGTCTTTTTTCATATTTTCATTTGCAATAAATCAAGGGCATGCCTGAAGGAATGGAAAACTGAGGCTTAAATGCAGGATTGTATTAGAGGAAGTTCCCAGCTAAGGGCCAGTTGTGTTTGCCCCATGGGTGCCAGCATGCGTGAGACACAATCCCATAGGGTCCCAAAGGAAACAGGAGGCCCACTGGGCCCTCCTGTCCACCCAGCCACGCTCTGACAGATGCCCAGGGTGACCCTCTCTCGGCAGCCACCCTGCCACCACCACCACCTCAGAGAAGAGGCCCAGCAGGATTACACCCCACCCGGCTCCCTGTCCCCTGTCACTGCCCAGCCACACCAGCCTGCCTGCTGATCTCTGCCAGTCTGCACTGTACTGCCCATTACCACCCACCACAGTGCTGCCGGAGTGAGGAGGAAGCTGCTGGAAGGTGGGTGCAGGCTTTGGTTCTTATACCTGGCCCTGTCATGTAGACCCTGGGTGGTTCCCACAATCCCCGGGATGAAGTCCAAACTACACCTGCCTCTCTAGCCACCACCACCGAGGCCCAGTCTGCTCCCCAGCACACTGTGTGCCTAGCACCTGGGCTGTATGTGCTACATGCTGCTTCTGTTGAGGACAAAAAGCTGTGGCCCGTGGATTTCTCAGTTCTCCCTCCTTTGTAGCACAGTATAGGGAGAAGGCAAAACGCTAGACCATCCACCTACCACTGTGCCAGGCACTTGGTATGGATCCATTTCATGTTCGGCGAGCGTGTGACGTCTCAGTGACAATTAGGACCTTGCCCCAGATCAGGTGGTGACTCACTGCCAGTGAGGGGATTGGGCCCTGCTCGGGGCCATCCTTCCACGGCTGCACACACCAGGCAGCAAGAGCTTGGGCAACTTACGGCTTCCCTGAACCTTCCCTTCACCCTCTGATCATGGGATTGTTGTGAGTGCTAAGTGAGGTCACATGTGGACAGTGGAAAGATAGACATGCTCTTAAAAAGAAGAAAAAAAGATACCTGAGGTCTCATCCGTGGATTCCATCGTACGTAATAGTTTACCCACAATTCCAAATGACTCAGACTAGCAACAGGATATAACACATGGTTTTCATAATTCACAAAGAAAGGATTGGAGAATTCATCTAGCTGGCTATTGATATATGACCATAAAGATATAGTCTTTGTACATATATCCTGAAAAACAAAAAAGAAATATAATGAAATAAACTTTTCTTCATATCCTCAAGAATTAGTATAACATGGAGAAAATGACTGGACTAATGAAGTGAATTCAAATGCTGGAAAATTCACCAACATTTACTAAGCCCTACCCCCATCTCCCCACCAGTCATGGTCTCATGCCGGGACAACATGGGAAACACATACTGCTTGGTCTCCTGGAAAAAGGTATTGCTGAAGTTAGGTAGCATCTGGCAACAGTGTCTATGGGAAGGCAGAATGAGAACTTTCTAACAATCACAGGATGATAGTGCCCATCAATCATATTTTTTTAATTCTGGTGTAAAGTTTGCTTTTGTGACTTTTAATATTGAGGAACATGGGTAAAATTTACAGTTAAGATTACTCGCAATGGAAAATCATCATTATCTGGAGAAAAATGTGCCATGGTGGCAGGCTGGAGCAGCTCTATATAGAGAAGCATGTCATTGAATTATACTCTGTAACTACTTGGATTGCTCATTTGAGTGAAAACACTCAAATCTGCAGGAATGGTGGGGCAGGTAAACATTAAACAATAGAACAAACACAATGGCAAAGTCAAATAAGAAAATGGCGAGACCAGGAGAATTTTCTACCGTCCTGCTGCTCACTTCCCACAAGGTAGCTAAATGCAGGAACATTCAATTAGGACCATTTCATTTTTTATATATTGTATAAGAGAAACGGCAACAATAATAATTCAAGGGGTCCAGAGTAACCAAAATAATCTTGAAAAAGAACAAAGTAGGGGGACTTACACTTCCTTATTTTCAAAACTTACTACAAAGCTACGGTAATCAATACTGGTGTTGCTGGCATAAGGACAGACACATAGATAGATAGAATAGAGAGTACGGAAATGAACTCTCTCACATTATGGTCAACTGAGTTTCGACAAAGGTGGCAAGAAAATTCAATGGGAGAAAGATATTCTTTCCAACAAATGACACTGGGACAACTAGATAGCCAACACACACAAGAATGAAGTTGGATCTTTAATTCACGCTATATATAACTTAACCCATTAACTTAAAATGGGTCACAGACCTAAATATAAAAACGTTTAACTATTAATGTAAAACTCTTAGAGGAAAACATAGGAGGAAATCTTCATAATCTTGGGTTAAGCAATGGTTTCTTAGATATGATACCTAAAGCACAAGCAAGAAAAAAATAGATAAATTGGACTTTATCAAAGTTTAAAACTTTAGTGCTTTAAAAAAGGATACCATCAAAAAAGTAAAAAAATCCACAGAATGGGAGAAAATTTTTGCAAATCATATATAAGGGACTTGTATATATAAAAATGTATAAGGAACTCTTACAATAATAATAAAAGATAACCCAATTTAAAAATGGACAAAGGGGCCGGGTGCAGTGGCTCACGCCTGTAATCCTAGCACTCTGGGAGGCCGAGGCAGGCGGATTGTTTGAGCTCAGGAGTTCGAAACCAGCCTGAGCAAGAGCGAGACCCCGTCTCTACTAAAAATAGAAAGAAATTAATCAGACAACTAAAAATATATAGAAAAGATTAGCCGGGCATGGTGGTGCATGCCTGTAGTCCCAGCTACTCAGGAGGCTGAGGCAGGAGGATCGCTTGAGCCCAGGAGTTTGAGGTTGCTGTGAGCTAGGCTGACGCCACGGTACTCACTCTAGCCCGGGCAAAAGAAAAAATGGACAAAGGTTCTGAGTAGACATTTCTCCACAGAAGATACGCAAATGGCCAATAAGCACATCAAAAGATGCTTGACATCATTAGTCATTAGGGAAATGCAAATCAAAACCACAAGATACCACCTTCCATCCACTAGGATGGCTATAATTTTTTTAAAAAAGGAAAGTAAGTGTTAGTGAAATGTGGAGAAATTGGAAGCCTCAGACACTGCTGGTGGGAATGTAAAATGGTGCAACTACTCTGGAACACAGTTTGGCAGTTCCTCAAAACATTAAACAGAGTTACCGTATGACCCAGCAATTCCATCCCTAGGTATATGCCCCCAAGAGAAATGAAAGCACATGTCCACACAAAAGCTTGTACACGAGTGGATATAGCAAGCAGCATTATTCATAACAGCCAAAAAGTAAAAACAACCCAAATTTCTATCATCAACTGATGAATGGATAAACAAAATGTAGTCTACTCATAAAATGGAATATTGTTCAGCCATAAAATGGAAAGAATTACTGTTACATGGATGACCTCTGAGAACATGCTAAATGAAGGAAGACAGTGATAAGCCTACTATTGTGTGATTCCATTCCTATGAAATGTCCAGAATAGGCAAATCCATCGAGATGGAAAGTAGACTGGTGGTTGCCAGGGGCTGGGAGTAGAGGGGATAGGAAGTGACTGCTAATGGGTAGGCATTTCTTTTTGGGGTGATAATTTTATGAAATTAGATATTAGTGATGGTTACACAATATGTAAATGTACTAAAACTGCTAAACTGTACACTTTAAATGGGTGAATATTATGCTCTGTAAATTATATCACAAGAGAGGTGATTTTTAAGGATAGTAAGTTTTGTGCCCCCCTCAAAAAAAAACCTCAAGATAAAACCGTAGTTTAAATTCTATATATAGACTTCATTCTTGTGTTGCTGGTTTTGTTTTAAACAGTTTTATTGCAATATATTTCACATACCATAAAATTCACTCTTTTAAACAAGTTTTTCTTTTTATTAAGAAGTTAACAGGGCCCCATCACACTGCACCTGCAGGAGTATGGATTTGATCTTCGCTGCAGTGGGAAGCAGGGGAGAGGCACATGATCAGATTTAAGTTAGTGAATGCTTGCTCTGGTTGCTCTGTCTAGAATGGACTACTGAAGCCTGTCCATGGGCTGCTGCCTTAGTTCAGATGCGAGACAATAGAGGCTTGAGCTAGGCTTGTAGCTAGCTGTAAAGCAGTTAAGTGGCCAGATTAAGAACTATTTGTGGGGGCAGGGCCAGCAGTGTTGGCCGATAGACAACTGCAGTGAGGGTGAAGGAGGGATTGAAGATGATTCCTGTGCATCTGGCCTCGACATCTAGATGGCCAGTGGTGTCATTTACTGAGAAGCAAAAGACCAGGAGAGGAGCAGGAAAGTGGCATTTAGATCCCTGAGGCTAGACAAAGTCACCTACAGAGAGAGAACAGTGCTCAGCGTGAGAAGACGACCAGGGACTGGGCCCAAGTGACTACAACTTTAGAGACTGGTTAAAACGGCATCCAGCCAGAGACTGAGCGGGGGAGGCCAGTGAGTGAGGTAGGGCAGAGGCACAGGAAGTAGGGTCACAGGATGAGGGAGGGGTCAACTGTGGGGAGGCTGCTGCGAGGGAGGGAGGTGGGCGTTGCTGATGGACTGTTTTCCCCTGAATTCTGTAATGTTCTAACACACTTAGCTCATAGGCAGCAGTCCCTTTGGATTAGCTGGACGATATTCTCTAAGCTGCCTTTTACCAATATCTTCTCATTTTTGAGCATTTCTTTGTTTTATCCCTAACTGAGGAGTAAAGGAAGAAGAGGTGAAATGTATCTCTGAGAAGCTTGGCAGCTATTTTTTTTTTTTAAACCAGCTCCACAGACAAAAAAGTTTAGCTTGCTACCTAAAGTGAGGCTTTTGGCTACACTTTATTTTTTAAGTTCTTCAAGTATGATTCTGCCCAACACCACAGAGAATGAAAAGCAGATTTATACTATTTTGGAGTCAGTGCAATGGAAAGTACATGAACTCGGAGGCAGGAGGTCCAGGGTCTAGCACTGACCCTACTCCTTAGAGAGCCCTGGGCTCTCTGGGTCCCAGCCTCCCATATCTATGAAGTAAGGGGCTTGTCTTAGACATATGTGGTGGGGCTGCCAGAGCCCAGGAAGCGTACCTAGTGCAACCTGCCTTATACCCACCAGGGCCGGAGCCCACATCCTCCCTCCACTCAGTCCTTCTGTTGCAGTGGCACTTCCTGGGAGAGAGGCCTCAGAACAGGGCAAGCAACAGACGAGAACACCACATACTTACCTCTTTGTATCGCTGTTGTTCACAGTTGCACAAAAAGGTCCCAAAGAGACAGCTATAAAGGTGATCCAAAATTGTAATCAAGAATAGTTCGTTAAACTCAAATGCTGAAGGAAACTTAAATGGAGAGAAAAATAAGATTTAGTCTTAAAGTCCAATTTCTAAAACAAAGTAATACTACTTTTTGTGAAAGACAGCTAAACTGCAAATTGGAACAAAGATTGAAAAGAAGATGGAGCACAGGACTGTGACCCTGAGAGAAGGGAAACTGAGGGGAGCCCTACTATTGTCCAGCTCCCACCTGCAGGCATATTCCACACCACAGAGCTGGGCAGAGGGTGGATCCCAGCCATAGTATATACCTAAAATAACGCAAGAAGAAACAGAAAATTCGAATAGCTCTGCATCTACTAAAGAAACTGCTAACTAAGACCTTCCCACAAACACAACTCCATGAACATACATCCTCTAATCTTTACCAACGTACATAAGCAAATTGAACCCAGCAATACATAAAAAGAGTAATATGACAAGACCAAGTGGGGCTTACTTCAGGAATGCAAGGCTGGCTTAACATTTGAAAGTTGATGTTATAAAAAAATCAATTACTGTAATTCATCATATTAACAGAGGAAGAAAAACCACACAATCGTCTCTATTCTTTTAGGTAATTCTTAGTGGGGTTTTGCAGAATTCCAATGAAAACTATCACCATTGCCAGCAGATTCTAGCCAGTAGCTGGCATGTAGTAGCCATGAGATGATCTGGAAATGATAATGATGATCCTAGCAGCAGGCATGTACTGAGAGCCTACCATATGCCAGAATTCTAATTTAAAAACATAGTGAAGGCCGGGCACGGTGGCTCACACCTGTAATCCTAGCTCTCTGGGAGGCCGAGGCGGGCAGATTGTTTGAGCTCAGGAGTTCGAAACCAGCCTGAGCAAGAGCGAGACCCCATCTCTACTAAAAATAGAAAGACATTAACTGGACAACTAAAAATACATAGAAAAAAAAAATTAGCCGGGCATGGTGGCACATGCCTGTAGTCCCAGCTAGGAGGATTGCTTGAGCCCAGGAGTTTGAGGTTGCTGTGAGCTAGGCTGACGCCACGGCACTCACTCTAGCCCGGGAAAAAGAGTGAGACTCTGTCTCAAAATAAATAAATAAATAAAAATAAAAACATAGTGAAATATTCATCACCTACTAAATGAAGCAAAACCAATTAGAACAAAACCAAATACAACTACCCAGCATGTTTTTATGTAGGTCAGTTTACTTTACAGACTTATATCAGAGTGATGTGTGTACACTGTCATGACTAATCCTGACATCTCTTGAGTGACAATGTGGATTATTACTGACAGACAAGTTTATTTTTTAACTTAGCTTTACTACTTTAAAGACTGGCAACAGACTTTTCAATGAGAAACAATGGTCAGCCCAGGGCTGTCCAAACTCTACCTGAAATTGTTCTTTTCCTCACCAGGCTAACTTAAGGAATTCTGCTCAGATACATTGGATTAAGATTTGCCTCCCTCCCCGTCTTAAGGATTACTCTCACAGAGGCACACAACTCTGTTCTAAGGAGCCCCATCAGAATATCACTTTCAGAAAGCCCTGGAAACTAGCTCTGGTGGTGGTTCTTACTAGCATTCTTGTTCTTAGATGAACTAAGTCAATGGTGTAACATCTCTGGCTGAAATGCTAATGACAGGTACTGGTTAATCCTCTCCTGGAGCCTTTAAGATTGCCCTTTGCAACTCCCACAGTGGCCTCACATTCCAAATGGCTATCTTTTAAAAGGCCAAGCACACTATGTCTGCATTTCCCAGCATTTTTCTATGCTTAGTTATGCCCTATTCATAAATTATTGGCAACACAGAATTTATGAATTTTAAGCAGATATATAACATTTATGTATATTGAAGCTTTATTAAATCAAGAATAGGAATGAAAGACCTAGGGTTTTGTCCTATATTTTCAAACGTTTAAAAACAAACATTTACTAACAAGACAGCAATTTATTGACATATTTTATAAGTCATGAGTGCTATGAACTAACTGTGTCCCTCCAAAATTCATATGTTAAAATCCTAACCCCCAAGGTGATGGTATTAGGAGGTGGTGCCTTTGGGAGGTAATTAGGTCATGAAGGTAGAGGCCTCATGAATGGGATTAGTGGCCTTATAAAAGAGGCCCAAGAGAGCTCCCCTGTCCCTTCTGCCATATGAAGACACAGTGACAAGACAGCCACCTGTGAACCAGGAAGTTAGCCCTCACCAGACACCAAATCTGCTGGTACCTCGACCTTGGACTTCTCAACCTCCAGAACTATGAGAAATAAATTTCTGTTGTTTATGAACCACCCAGTTTATGGTATTTTGCTCTAGCATCCCAAACAGACTAAGACAATCAGTCTCTATTCCTAGCCCCTAAACCTGCATTCTAGATCTGGGCGCTTGTGTGGGTGTGTTCTAGTGCCACTGACTACAAGCCTTATTCTGGCCAACTGGGTACCTGATATGGGAGGGTCAAAGTGGGCAGGGCTCAGTCCACGCCCATCAGCACTGGAAAACAAAGACTCCACATACTGATGGTGGGTCAAGACTGCCATTCACACTTTCAAAGGGCATCATGGCATTAAACTCAACTCAGAAAACAGCTCAGGGGGAAAACAGTAGCAGCTAGAGTAATAAAAATAAAAGACTAAGTCTCTGCAGTTCATAGTTTGTTTTGGCCTCTTCTCCTGGAAACTGTACCATTTCCCTAAAAAGTATAGTCCCCAAAAATCTACAGTAATCTATAATAAAATTCTACAACTCTTGCAGAACAAAAATATCAATGACTATTAAACCTATCTCAAAGGGTAAAGATTCTGTTAAACTATGGATATGATAGAATGTCTTTGGGACTTTTCTCAAAATATTCCTTCATTTATTTTTTCCCTTCCTATCAGTTTGTCTACATACTAACTAGTTCATTTTATTCTGATATTTCTGACAACTTTACACTGACTTAGTTTACTCAATTTAGCAGTAGGCAACCTAAAAATAATCTTTTACATGAATGAATCTTTTACTAGCCCACTACTTATCTCATTCACTTAACTGATAATTAAAGACTGATCATTAATGTCTCTGCTTCTAAAGCATTAACAATGTTATTTTAAAAGAAATTATACACACATTTCATGGACAGAATCTTAGAGCTGTGAGCGACATCTGAAATGTTCTAATTCAAACTCCTTTTTTTTCTTAAAATGCAATAAACGGTACAAAAATGACATACCTTTGACATAAAAATAGGCACTAAGCAAAATGAAGAATGGAAGTCAGTTTGAAGATGTTAAAAAATACACACATTTAATCTGGGCATTTTGGAGAGATAAAGCTGTTTTGCATCTTCAAAAATGATGCTTATCCCTTTAGAAGCACTGGAATTATTTTTTGTGTTCGACCTTTTTATGCAATTTTTCTAACATGTATCCCATACTTTCTTGTCTTAATAACCTGAATGTAACAATCATTTAATTGTGTTATTGGTGTAACGTCAATACAAATGGCAATAGTGCATGGCACTATAAAACAGTAAGGCTTCTGGCCAGCCTCCATGCCTTTTGAGTATATGTTTGCTGTTAACTTTCACTTGAACCGCTGCCATGCCTACCTCTAGGACCACGCCCTCTGACCCGGGCCAGCTCTCTAACTGGCTGCGTTTAATCAGCTGTGACCTGGCAATCAGATAGTGTGAGACCACAATCAGTTTCTTAAAGCTGGGTCTAAAAGTAAGTATAAGTTCTGAGCGAGGGCCTGAGGACTCTGCGGAACCTACTTTGGCTACTCAGAACCCCCCTCCCTTTGATTCTTATTTCTGAAGGTAGTCTGTGCTGTCTAGACCCCTTGGCACTCAAAGTGTGGTCTGTGAACCAGCAGCATCACCTGGGAGCTTGTCAGAAATGCAACATCTCCGGCTCACCCCAGACTCACTGAATCAGAATCTGCATTTCAACAAGAACCCCAGATTCATCTGCTCATTAATGTTAGAACAGTGTTGGTCTAGAGCAACACTGATGCTGAAAGTTGAATCTCAAAGTTCAGCATACATCAGGATCCCCTCAAGGGCTTGTGAAACCAGAGTGCTGGGCCTCCCCACCGAGAGCACCAGCAGGTCCTGCAATGGGGCCTGTAAATTAGCGTATCTAACAAGTTCCCAGGGGGTGCTGAGGCTGCAGGTCCCAGGACCACACTTGGAGCACCAGTCTAGATCACTGGTCTTCAAACTCACTTGAACATCTGAATCACCCGGGGAACTTTTTACACACACCTAAGCCTCTCCCTAGGCCCACAGGAAGAAGGCGCTCCAAAAGTTCCCAGGTGCTGACAGTATGCACTCAAGGTGGACAGCCATGGCTCCGGGCCCTCCAGGTCCTCCTCAGGGCAGAGCTGCTGGGGAACAGGCCCAGCTGAGGTAGAGGGGGCGGCACAGACAGTGTGGTGGTTGTCAATGTTCTTTCTGCCCCACCACACACACTGCCATCAGTAACAGTAGCTCACGGTGGGGAAACAGGACTGCTATTTCACAGACTTTCTGCAGTGAGGAGGCAGATGTCCTCTACAAAGGCCCTAGGGTGACTGTGATAAGGCTACGAGGAGGATCAATCAGGAGCATCATGGCTCTTGGTACAATCCCCACAGATCACCAGCAGGTCTCTGTTCCCTTCCCCATGACAGAAGCAGCCACAGCCAGAGCTCCTGGTAAATTACTAGGAAGGAGAGGCCCCAGACCCTGGTTCTCAGCCCCCTAAACTTATTCTTTTCCCCATAACCCCCTCAGCCAGGCTGGGCAGCAGACACTGCGGGAAACGACTTTCTCCTTTGCCTCCTCCCTCCTTCTGGTTCCAAGTCCATTTCCCTGGCAGTATCTCGTATCACAAGGGTAAGACCCCAAACTCAGGTTTGGATGTTGGAGATGAGGGAAAAAACAGCCTGGGCCCCATGGACTACTTGGAACTAAAGCTGTCAGGCCTGACTGCTTTAAGGGGATCAATGTATGGCTCCCTTGCTTACGGTGCTCTGTGCATTGGGGTTTGGGAACTAAGCACCAGCTAACGATGAAGTGCTAGTAGCTTCTTATCCGCCACTGGTTCTTGAATACTCATTTCCCTTGGCATGGGAGGGGCTGTGGCCTGGGGCGGAGTGTGGAAATCCCTGGATTCCCTGGTCTAATCCCATTGACTAGCAGTTCATTCACATCCTCATTGCTAACATCTGGCCACATCTTAGCTTAACTGCTCAGCAGGAGACTGTTTCCTTAACCTGACAAACTGGAGTGATAGAAGCAGAATCTGCTGAGGAGGAGGGCCTTGGTTCCCAAAGCTGGTAGACAAGATGATTGACAAGAAGCATTGCGGAGACAAGTAACTTGGTGTGAAATTGACTGTTTCTGATTTTCTGCATATATTGCCAAGTGAATTAGAATCAAATTGTAGTAAATAACATAAAGGGTCATATTTTACACATATGCATTCATTTTGAATGAAACAGCAATGAAAGTTTATCTAATCTTAAAGATGTATTTAAATCAAAGACTACATAGGTCAGAAATACACTTGAAATCTCTCACCTGTCTTGTCATTTGCCAAACACAATCAATAAACTGAAGAAATATAGGAGAGCGGTCGGCGTCAGCATGGTTGTCATTACCGTGGCCCACTCGCTGAAAAGCAGCAAAAGGTTAGACGTTTTAATGTATGCTACGGTCCTCTCAAAAGTCACTTTAAATTGCCTGGTGGCAAGAATCACATCTCATGAGGCCTCATAGAATTCCTGGTATATAATAGGCACCCAAAAATGTCATTGGATTAAATTGACTTCCATTACTTTTAGGAAACAAAATTTCAGTTTACTATATAGTATTTTGACATGTTGACTATTTTATAACTTCTCTTTAATATAGTTTATATCAAGAAATTATAAGTAACTGGCTAGCAAACTTTTTAGTTCAAATGGTGGGGTCAAGACCAGCCACCACACCAAGTGAACGGTATGTACTAATTTGCAGCTCATAAAGCACATTATGAATACCATTTTCTCCATGAGTATAAAAACATTTTTCTTCACATTTTTCAGAAATGTCAGGAAGTCTGACAATCAAAATAATGATTAACAATCTATGAGTTTTAACCAATTCTACATGACTCGAAGAACCCCAAAGTCTCAATCTTGAATGGTAATGGAGTGAGGTCCTTGCTCAAGGTAGTCCAGTATTGTATTTCATACCTTTTGATAAGAAAGTAATAGATTCATGCTAAAAGCTAAAAGACAGTATTCTCAAACACATAAACAGGATTGCCAAAAACACTGAAAATGCCCCAAGTAAAGAGATAGCTAAAGAGTGACCATTCTAAGAGAAGCTTCAAATAATCTACTAAGCAAAAGGATGAAGAAAAAAGACATTATGAAGATACAATATGATCACCACATAGAAAGAGCAAAATATATCTGTGAAATTGCCACCTGTAAAGACACAAAAATAAGAAAATGACCAAATCAACATTAGCATCTTAAATTAACAGTGTATTGCCTTTTAAAAAATTTAATTATGGTGAAATATACGTAACAAAATTTACCAACTTAACCATTTTCAAGTGTACAGTTCAATGGCATTAAGCACACTCATGTATTATGCAACCATCACTACCATCCATCTCCAGAACTTTTTCACCTTCCCAAATGGAAACTTTACACCTGTTAATGACTAACTTCTGGTTCCACCTCCCCACAGCTCCTGGCAATGACCATTCATTCTACTTTCTGCCTCTATGCATTTGATTGTTCTAGGTTCTTCATATAAGTGGAAATATACAATATTTACCCTTTTGTGGCTGGCTTATTTCTCTGAGCATAATGTTTTCAAGGTTCATCTATGTTGTAGCACGTCAGAATTTCTTTTTAAGACTGAATAATATTCCATTGTACAGCCATTCACCACATAATGACGTTTCAGTCAATAATAGACTGCATTTACAACGGTGATTCCGTAAGACTAGAATACAGTATTTTTCCTGTACCTTCTCTGTTTAGCTATCTTGAGATATAGAAATACTTACCATTGTGTTACAGTTGCTTACAGTGTTCAGTACAGTAACATGACGTACAGTGTGTAGCATAGGAACAACAGGCTATAACATATAGCCTAGGCGTACAGTAGGGCTGTACCATCTAGGTTTCTGTAAGTGCACTCCGTGATGTTCGCACAGCAACGAGATCATCTAACAACTCATTTCTCAGAATGGATCCTCATCATTACACAACACACGACTGCATACACAGACCACAGTGAGTTTATCCACTCGTGCGTCGATGGCCACTTGGGTTGCTTCTACCTTTGGGCTATTGTGAATGCTGCTGCCATGAACAATGATGTACAGATATCCGTTAGAGCTGCTGCTTTCACTTCTTTTGAGTATATATACTCATAAGTGGAATTGCTAGATCATGTGGTAATTCTACGTTTAATTTGTTGAGGAACTGTCATACTGTTTTCCACAGTGACTGCATGTGTTGCTTTATTTCTGTACTTCCCCTCTGTAAAATAACTTGAAGAACCTGCTTGTCAGTAATTAAGGCACCTAGGGAACAGTTTTGCACTGATGATTCACAATTTAGAATCCATTCTTTAACAAATAGCCATTGAACTCCTATGGCATGTGCAAGGCATCATGCCTGGCCCTTGGAATTTCGGGCATCTTCGTGCTGTCTGGTAAAGGCCAGGTCCTTGACTAGGCACCTAGGGTACCAAGACAAATGAGACACTGTACTTATGCTCGATGAATAATTCATTTGTGGTTTAGTCAAGAGGAAAAAAACATGTAAAGAATGAGGGCAATGAAGTGTTCCAAGGGTTTCTGAGGGTGCAGTGGGTACAGTGGGGGCATAAAGGAATGAGTGAGCCATCCTAGGATGGGGTGGAGGAGGGAATGGGGAGGGAAAGTCATAGTCACGAAGGAAGTCCCTTGAGATAAACTTTGAAGGACAGGGAGGTACCTGCTTCCTGGGTAGCCAGGAATTTACTATCAGCAGTGGGAATGTGGCAGAGGACACCAGGGGAGCCATAAGTAGCTGGGCACGGCTGAGCCTTAGAGGATGGGGCAAGGGGAGTAAGGTAAGAGATGAGGCTGGAGAGGTGGATAAGGGCCAGATCACCAAGGGCTTTGAGTGCCAAGCTGAGGAGTTTGCCCATAAATCCCATGGGCCACAGAAAGGCCCTGAGGGATTCACACTGTGGAGTGGCAGCATCAGATCTGGCTGCAGTAGGGATGACAGATTGTATGGGAATAGGTCACAGAAAGGCTACTTAGGAGATTGCCTAAGGGAGTTGGTGAAGCCTGAATTAAGGAGGCATCAGTGGCAATGGAGAGGAGACAAAAGATTTGAAATGCATGCATTTCAAGTCGTAGGACTGGCTGCCATTGCTAAGGGATTAAGCACAAAGAAGAAAAATGATCCCAGGACTGACCCTGGGGCACTCCAACATTAAGAGGTTGGGGAGATGAGGGAGGACCTGAAACTAGGAGCAAATTCAAAAAGTTGTAGATCCCGAAAAGCCTAATGAACAAAGTGTTTGGAAGAAAGGAAGAGTCAACATCATCAAATGCTTGGGCTAAATAAGAGAAGGACTTGGCAAAGTGGCAGTCATTGGTGACTGTGACAAGACCAGTTGTTGGGGGCACTGCGAGAAGGAAGCCTGGCTGAAGCGGGTCCAAGACCAGATCGAGGGAAATGATGATAGTGAATGCAGACAACAGTTTAGAGCTCTGTCATAAAGAGGAACAGATAAATAATTGATAGCTGGAGGGGGTTGTGGGGTCAAGAGGGTTTTGAGGGTATAATAGCACATTTCCATACCAATGGGAACCATCTAGGGGAGGGTCACGGAGGCAGGATAGAGGGAAGAACAGTCAGAAAGGTCCATGGCATAGATGATGGAGGCAAGTGGGCAAGGGCAGGCATTGGCTCATTCACAGAACTTGAGGTAAGGGAAAGTACAGGGACCCAGCAGGTAGGTGGCTGCAGACTTGAAATCACTGTTTAAATGCTGGTCCACCCTAATTAGCTGTGTGATCTTGGGAAGATAACCCACACTCTTGCAACCTTGGTTTCCTTGTCCGTCAATGACAGTACCTGCCTATCAGGATTAAACAAGATGATCCATGTAACAGTGCCAGGCACATAGTGGTGCTCAGTAAACTGAGGCCATGGTGACTCTTACGGTCATGTCCTCACTGGGGCCATGGTGGTGAGCCCCGGCATCAGCAAGTAGGGGTGGGAGCAGAGCACCATGGGCATGCCCTGATGCATGTGCCCCAAGTCAGGGGGGGCGCATGTATCAGGGTGTGCCCACGGTGCTCTGTGGTAAAGCAGCCTTTACCACTGTCCCTCTGGAAAAGCACCCTGCCCAGCTTTCTCTCCCCTAGGACATACAGTTTGCGGAGAAAAGGTAGAAGAGAATGGCCTCTGAATCTTCAGAGCTGGCCAGGTGCAAACATCTGGAAAGATTCCACACTCCCTCCTCCCTACTGAGCCCACCTTTTACTGATGGGGAAGAAACAAAGGAGTTTGTTACCCAGCATGGGCCAGGCACTGTCCTAAGCACTAGACACGTACAAACTCATTTCCCCCATGCAACACCCTGTTTCCGAGAGGAAGAAATCAAGGCAAGAGAGGTGAAGGAAGGTGTCCAGGGGTCTCCCAAGAGCTCCCAGAAGGCATGCAGCTCAGAGGCTGTGGACTCACCCCTTCACTCCCTCTAGGAGGGCTTCTTTTAGGCTCTCCACCCCCTACATTGAAAGCAGGATGTTACAGGCTGAATTGTGCCCCTGCAAATTGAAGCTCTAACTTCCAGTACCTGAGAAATGTAACTCTATTTGGAGATAGGGCCTTTACAAAGGGGATTAAGTTAAAATGAGGCCATTAAAGGGGCCCTAGCTCAATCTGACCTCATGAGATGAGGACATATGCACACACAGAAAGACCCCAGAGGTGCATGCACAGAGGAAAGACCCTGTGAAGAGGGAGCAAGAGGGAGGCCATCTGCAAGCCAAGGAGAGGAGGCCTCAGGAGAAATTAACCCTGCTGGCACCTTGATCTTGGACTTTCAACCTCCAGAACTGTGAGAAAATAAATTTCTGTTGTTTAAACCACTCAATCTGTGGCCTTGTTGTGGCAAAAAGTTGTATACCAATGTTCATAGCAGTATTGTCCACAATAGCCCAAGGTGAAAACAACCCAAGTGTCCATCAACAGATGAATGGATAAACAAAATGGGGTGTATGCACACAGGGGAATACTATTCAGCTACGAAAAATGAAAATTTGACATATGTTACAACATGGATGAACCTTGAAAATGTTATGCTTAGTGAAATAATCCAGCCATGGGAGGAGAAATATTATATAATTCGACTTATATGAGGTACCTAGCAAAGGCAAAATTACATAGAGACAGAAAGCAGATTAGTGGTTGTAAGGGGCTAGAGGGGAAGGAGAAATAGGGAGAGACTGCTTGATGGGTACAGGGTTTCCTTTTGGGGTGATGAATATGTTTCGGGACTAGACAGAGGTGATGGTTATATAGCATTGTGAGTGCATTAAAAGACACTGAATTGAGCATTTTAAAATGGTTAATTCTATGTTAAGTACATTTTACTTCAATTATGTTAAAAAACTATACTAAAAAAACAAAAAAACCTCAAAACTCCTTACCAGGAACATACAATGCTGAGGTCCATGTATTCTATTATGGCCATTTGGGTCTGATACATAGGAGAAAGCCTGCACATGTGTGTGTGCACGCTTTTGTGCATCACACATGACATGCACATGTATGTGACAGAGCAAACAGTCAAGCACAAACTTCACTGTCTGAACTTACCAGTGCAAACCTATGTCCAAAGCTTATCCACTCCTTTTCTATGAGAGCTTCAAATCCTTTAATAGTCCGGTAATAACTGTCCAACATCAGCATAGCCAGAGACGTGAGCTGGGCTGTTCGGTCCCAACCGTCACTGCAATGTACCACCACGGAGGTTTTCCCAGATTCTATTTTATCAGCAATTCTTACTGCCCCAGCCAGAAGCATCTTCAGAAAAGAAGGCATATTAGACCAGGCTATGTTTAACTCTGACTACAGCATAAAATAATTCTGCGGAGAACTTTGGAAGTTCTGGTCGATAAACCAAATGAGACTGCCATGAAATCAATTGAGAATCACTAGGAAATATTAGCATATTTGTGAAAAAAAAAAAAAACTTACACTAAAAAAGACCTCAGTAAATAGGGTCTTATTAAAGGGCCACAAAGTTCTTTAAAACCTGACAAGAGAGAAGCACTATCCTCCTCTTTTCACTATGTCACAAAAGCCCTTTACACAGACCCTGCTGCTGCCTATGGAAACTATAGAAGCTCACCCACATAGCAAAAAGGCACTTATTTGCAACATTTAGAAACCACTTGGAGATATAGATGTTTATGGCATAGACAGAAGTCAACCGGAAAGCATATGAAATATTGGACCTCTTTACCCTTATATATTCCAGCCAATGTGTCCCATCCACGTTGGACAGCCACCGTGCCTCATCAATCGAAGGGTACACTATCTCTTTTAATTTACGTAGCGACTCTCTCATCACGTGAATGTTGTGGATCTCCAAGAACACGAGTTCTGCGTTTGGGTAAGCACTTTCACTTTCATATCCTCCACCCTTTGCCTGTGAAAGACAAAAGATACGCATCACTTTATCTGGAGTTAACTTTTCTACTCTTTTTAGTGCTACCAGACATAGATTTCTAAAGAAGCAATAAATTCATCTGTTAATAAACCTCCTATATCCTTGTATGAGTTTCCTAGGGCTGCCAGAATAAAGTACCACAGAGTGGGTGGCTTAAAACAACAGAAATGTATTCTCTCACAGATCTGAAGGCTGAAGACTGAAATCAAAGTGTTGGCAGGGCTATACTCCCACAGAAACCTCAGGGGAGGATCCTTCCTTGGCTCTCCCTGGTTCTGGGAGCCCCAGGCATTCCTAGCTTATAGACACATCACTCTAATCTCTGCCTCCATCTCCACTCAATCTGTGTCTGTCTCTTCTCTTCTTCTTATGATTAGGGCCCACGCTAATATGACCTCAACTTAACTTGATTACATTTGCAAAGACCCTATTTTGAAATAGGGTCACGTTCACAGGTACTAGGAGTTAGGACTTCAACATATCTCTGAGATGACACTGGGATGTGTTTAAGGAACTGAAAAGAGCCTCATGAAGCTGGGACATGGACCTGGGAGGTGTGGTGAGACAGGACAGAAAGGGCCATGGGTGGAGGGCTTTAGAGGCCCCGTTCAGAATCTGGATATCAATGCCTCAAGGCTCTGAGGGATGTGCAGAGCTGTATGCTTCAAAGGTCACTGTACAACATGGCGACTGTAGTCAACAACAATGTAGTGTATACTAAAAAATTACTAAGAGAATAGATTTTAAGTGTCCACAGAAAATAAGTATGGGAGGTTATGTTAGTGTTAATTAGCTTGATGTAGCCATTCCACAACATATACAAATTTCAAATATCATGTTGTACATCATAAACATATACAATTTTATTTGTCAATTACAATAATAATAAAAGTAAATATAATTTTTTAAAAGATCACACTCTGGTCATAATGTGCAGACTAGATTGCAGGGTGTGAGGCAGAAGTCCAGTGACAGAGCTACTGCTGTAGTTCAGGCAAGAGAGGATGGGTCTTCCAAAAAATAGAAGAGGAGAGATTACATCGTAATTCATTCCGTGAGACCGGTAATGCCCCGATACCAAAACTAGACAAAGACATCACAAGAAAACTACAGACCAATATCCCTTATGAAAATAGATGCAAACATCTTCAACAAAATGCTAGAAAACCAAATCCAGTAGCATATTAAGGAGATTACACACCATGACCCAATGTGGTATATCCCAGGAATGTAATGAGATTGTATTAGCTTCCTAGGGCTGCTGTTAAAAAAAAAAAAAGTACCACAAACTCGGGGGCTTAAAACACCACAAATTGATTCTCTCACAGTTCTGTAGGCTGGAAGTCTGAGATCAAGGTGTTGGCAGGGTTGGTTCCTTCTGGAGGTTGTAGGGAAGAATCTATTCCATGTCTCTTTCCTGATTTCTGGTGGTTGCTGGAATCCTTGGCATTCCTCATCTTCTAGCTGCATCACTCAAATCTCTGCCTCTATGGTCACATCACCATTTTCCTTCCATGTGTATCTGTGTCTCTACATGGCCTTCTTATAAGGACACCAGTCACTGGATTTAGGGCCTAGCCTACTCCTCATCTTATGATCTCATCTTAATTAATTATATCTGCATAGGCCCTATTTCCAAATAAGGTCACATTTTGAAGTTCCAGGTGGGCATGAATTTTGGAGAGATATCATTCAATCCACTACAGTGGTTCGACATACAAAAATCTACCAATGTAATATATTATACCACATTAACAGAATGGAGAAAAAAAATACATGATCATCTCAATTGAGGCAGAAAAAGCCTTTGACAAAATCCAACACCCTTTCATAATAAAAACACTCAACAAACTAGGAATAGAAGGGAACTTCCTATACCCTCATAAAGGGCACGGGTGAAAAATCCAGTTAATCTCATACCTAATGGTGGAAAATTGAAAGCTTTCCCCCTAAGATTATAAACCAGACAAGAATGCCTGCTTTCACCACTGCAAGTCAACATTGTACTAGAGGTTCTTGCAGGAAATCAGGCAAGATGATGAGATGAAAGGTATCCAGATTGGGAAGGGAGAAGTCAAACCATCTCTATTTGCATATAACAATATTATATATAAGCTAATGGGGACTTAAATATTAGCCTTATCTGTTTTCTAGACACATACGCTGCCACATTTAAAATTATTCTAGACATGCAATTTTGTGTCCTGCTTTTATCTCTTCTGCATGAAATAAAAGACAATCAACTGCCCTTCCGCTGTTGAATATTTTGAAGATCACCTGTATGGATATAGCTTTTCTCATGTTTTGTAATTCCCTAGGATATGGCAGTGACAGGAAGGATGCAGAGATGTAGAGAGACTGACACAGTAATGATCCACCAGACGTGGGAGCAAAGGGGACTTACTGACGAAGCCTACGGTAGGCCGAAAAGTGGACCCCTGCTAATGACATTCACATCAAATCCCTGGCAACTGAGAACATGACCTCATTTGGAAAAAAAAATAGCCTTTGCAGATGTGATTAAGGACCTTGAGATGAAGAGATAATCCCAGATTATCTTGAGTGGGCCCTAAACGTCATCACAAGTATCCTTAGAAGAGATAGGAGGAGACACAGAAACATACAGAGGAAGGTAGGGCCACATGAAGATGGAGGTAGGGATCAGGGCGATGTGGCTACAAGCCCAGGAATGCTGGGGCAGCCACCAGAAGCTGGAAGAGGCAAGGAATGGATTCTCCCCTGGAACCCTAAGAGGGAGCACAGCCCTGCTAGATTTTGGACTTCTGGCCTCCAGAACTGAGAGAATATGCTTCTGGTGTTGTAAGCCACCAAGTTTGTGGTAATTTGTATGACAGCCTCAGGAAACTCTCTCCCATCTTCCTCCCTGCCCTGTTCCTCTCCCAGTCTTCCCCATATCAGTAACTAACACCACCATTTGCCCTCCAGGTCAGATACCTGGGCAGCCCCTTGACCACAGGAGTGGTGGGCTTGTCAGCATTGTGTACTGTATACTGAGGATGTACCCACCACTGTGCTAAGTCCTTTACATGAATTATGCTCACTTAATTTTAATCCTCACATGACCTTTGAGAGGAGACACTGGTGCTATCCCCCATTTTGCAGAAGAGGAATCTGAGTCTTAGAGAGAGGTTGAGTAACTGGCTTGAGGTTGTACAGAGCACCAAGTGGCAGAACCTGGAAGAAAACCCATGTGTAACTGATTCCAAAGCCAAGGGGTCTCACCACCCTGCCACCCTGACCAGTTTCAATATACTGAGGGTTTGTGACCTGGGAAACAGCCAAGTAGAGATGTCAACTATACAACGGGATGGAAGTTCAGTCTCAACCTTAGGAAGAATCAGCTCAGGATGGAAACTGTGGTATCAAACTCAGCATATAGATAGTGTTTAAAGTTATGTTACCAGAGCAGATGGCCTGGGGAGATTGTATAGAGCATCAAAAAGGACCCCAGACCAAGTTCAAGGAGCACTGCCATTTAAAGATTGGAAAGGAGAAGAGGAATGAGTGAAGGAGACCGAGAGGTCAGGCTGGAGAGGGAGAGAAACTCAGGGATGTGATGTCATGTAGGTCGAGAATGTAGCTGGCCACTCTGAGGTCAATACCAAATGCTTTCTCAAGGACAGGCACTGTTCTGGGCCTATTACAGTATTTCCTTATTTAACCTTCACATCCACTCTAGGAAGTAGGTAATACTGTCATTCTCATTTTAGAAAGGAGACAATCATGCAGGGGTGGGGAACGTGCAGCCTTCTGACTTCAAGATTTTTGTTCTTTTTTAGGCACCAAAGGAGGCAAGAAAAGCTTCATCTTTCTCTGCTGCACCCCTGTTAATGAAAGCATCTGTTCTGTAAAATTTGGATTCAGTCAAAAGGCCGCACTCAAGGATCCAGAAGGCCATGTGGATATTTTGTGCAGCTACTTGTTCGATATGTGTCTCTCCTACTAAGCTGAACAGTTGGCCACAGCTATCCCCAGTGTGTAGTAGAATGTCTAGCCCACGTAGGTACTCTAGTACTGAGAGAAGATGGCTGAGTACACATCTGATGGCCTGTTTGCTCTTTGAAGTATTATAGAAGGTAATGGCTTCTCCCGAGGGCCAGATGGGAAAGGTAGGAGGCTGGCTTTTTCGAGATTGTTGTCAATGATGGCATAATCATTGAGTAAAGAAAAGGAGCAAGCTGACAAGAGAAACAAAGCTGGACTCACAAGCACTGCTGAGGGGGACACTGGAGAGAGGGATTACCACATGCCCTTAGACATCTTCCTTCTTGCCACTCTTGCGCATGATATGCACTGCCACACAGTTGGACAGGTACTCATGCTGCTTAGAATGCCCTGCCCATCTATGCCACTGACCATGCAAAGCCAGATCAAATGGCACCTCCTTTGTGAAGCCCTACCTAACTCCACATGCAGGGCTAGCCAATGCCCCTCTGGCTCGCCCGGTTCATCAAGCTTACACCTCCTACAGATAGCACCTCACTGGTCTGTTTTTGAATTTCCCCCAGCACCTTGCCCCTAGTGGGTACTCATTAGATTTGTGCTACCCAAGTATCATTTTACAAGTAGGCCTGAGATGGTAAGGGCTGTCATCACCTTTCTAACACCTGAAATTACTTGAGAAGAAGGCAAAGTCCTCTGAACTACCAAATGCTTGCCTGCAGCAACATAGTCAGAAAGTCATTCATGGGAAATAGAAATGATTCAAATCAGAGCCTTTGCTATTCAGATAGTAGGTACTGCAGGCTTGACTTCATAGCTTTTGCTAGATACAAAGGACCCTATCCTCTGCAGCCAGCAAAGATCAAATGGGAGCTGTTTGCAGAGGTGTTTAGATCATGTCTTGTTGTCACCTGACATACAGTACCAGTGCTCCATGTGATTTATGGAAACTTTGTATATTTGCAGTTTCACATGTCTGATTCCATTCTAAAAGAGCTTCAGAACAGGTATGAATTAATCAAGTAATCACTATATTTCTTAAAGGGACTTCCAAGGACCTCACAATTATTTTGTTAAAATACTTAATCCTGGAGATGATAATTCTCTTTCCAGGTCTTTGCTTAATTGATTCAGCAGACAGGATTGTGGGGAAGCAAAGAAGAGACACCATCCCAACCCCCATGAAACACCAAACATAGCCCACAGAGTATATACCGGGGAGCAACAGCTCTGGACTCCTCCAAAAGGTTCTAACTTCAGTGATGAGGAATTCAACAAGTTAGTCAAACCACATAATGATTTACAGACAGTACATATGAAAATATCCTGTGTTCCTGGAATGCTATCGAAAAAGTACCTTGTTGGTATCAGCGACACTGTTTTGTCGAGCATCAAAGATGATGAGTTTGTGTGACTGTGCATTAGCGTCCATTATTGTTTGTAAGTATTTTTCATCCTCTTTGCAGCGTTTATCATTGGGACCCACGAGTGGCTGGCTGCAACGGGTAATCGTTGCCTGACTTTCTGGATGAATCCACGACAACACCTAGTGTTTTTAAGCGACAAATATTAGCATAGTTCTTCAAGCAATGCATGCTCTAATTACTTGGTAGGAAAAACAAGTTCCCTTCTCAAGCACAATCTCTTCTGCATATTTTCCTCAAAGGTGAGAGTGGGCAGGCCAATCACAGAGTATACTGGCCATGGGACTCAATGTTTTGGTCAGGTTGAAACAAGTCTGACTAGATGAGCTCTAAAAATTCCCTTCTACCTCCAAAAATCTATGATTCTAAGCAAAACAAAACCTAAGGCAAACTGTTACTAAAATCTAGCACCATGCCTATTTGATTGACTGGTTTTATCATCTCCTAATTTAAAAAACATCTTTGAGCTCTCTGGGAGGCCGAGGCAGGCGGATTGTTTGAGCTCAGGAGTTCGAAACCAGCCTGAGCAAGAGCGAGACCCTGCCTCTACTAAAATTAGAAAGAAATTAATCGGCCAACTAAAAATATATAGAAAAAATTAGCCGGGCATGGTGGCGCATGCCTGTAGTCCCAGCTACTTGGGAGGCTGGGGCAGTAGGATCGCTTGAGCCCAGGAGTTTGAGGTTGCTGTGAGCTAGGCTGACGCCATGGCACTCACTCTAGCCAGGGCAACAGAGTGAGACTCTGTCTCAAAAAAAAAAAAAAAAAAAAAAAAAAAAAAAAATCTTTGTATCCCGACAACAACATATGTGGCAGGGGCAGGACAAAATGAATATATAGTTTCTTATAAAATCTAAAACTCTGCCACCAAAACTCCTACTTTCCTCCAGTGTCCAAGTGACTCAGGATTATACCAGGTGCAAACTCCAGGCTCAAACCATCACTCCCCACTGGCTGCTATTACTTCCATAACAGTGTTCCTCCCTTGCAGCTATAGCATTCCACTCAGCATCTAAGAAAGGACACATCTCCTCTAGGATGAGTCGGTAAAAACAGCAATGTCAATTGGTAACGCAATAGTGTGGTGACTCTTTCTTGCTACTCCTTTGTTATTCTCTACTACATTTTGAGAGCATGACTTAAGTTATCCTTGCACTTAGTAACAAGAAATCATACAAGAGGGAGACATAACAAACAAATTGCTTATATAATTACGTATTTCTTCGGAAGCAAAGATGTGTTCAGGTTTAAAAGCTTATTTTTTTACTTTCTATTTTTATTCACTAGATTCTTTTTAGTCTTGCATCTTTCCATATTAGATCTAACACAGTATATGTTTCTATCTAAATGACAGTATTTATTACTTACAGGGACTCTGCCTTTTGCTCGAAAGGCTGCCACTTTTGAAAGGTCATCATCTTTTACACTAGTTGGCACAACAATGACAGCAGGGTAGGTGTCACAGAACTCATAATTACTGTTAATTTTGGATATTTTCCAACTCTCATTTGGCAAGCCCTGCAGGGTATTGGAGAGGAAGGAAGAGGGCGAAAAGCATGCTTTTACACTTTGAAAACACACTAAGTATGAACCACATCCATTTCTTATTTTCAACTAAAATCCATTTATAATTTGTTGTTGTTACTTAAAGTTAATATATTTATCTGGTATAACCCATTTCGCAGATATTTCTAAAAATCTAATGATGCATAAGAATTTCCAAGTCATACTAAAATATGAAAATTATACACTAGAATCCCAGGTCTATATATTTCTTGTCCTATTTTCTATAAAGAATGAGTTTAGTGTTATTCTTTATTTTATTTTTTTTGATATTTTTTATTTCAGCATGTTACGGCGGTACAAATGTTGAGGATATTGCTTTGCCCTACCCGAGTCAGAGCTTCAAGCATGTCCATCCCCCAGGAGTTTAATTTTATTCTTGAAAACATCCCTGAAAGTCCTTTAGAAACACAGATGTTTCTTACAAATGTCTAAAATAAGTGCGATGAAACATTATACCAAATATAAGGTAAAGACAAAAGTTAAATGTCATGAAAATAAGATCTTATTGGAATAACTTGAAGCTGACAATGCACTAAAGGGTTCCCAGACCCAGGAACACCATATCAGACTGATGTAGTCACAACATATGCTTCAATTCTAACTTAAGTCAGTTGTTTGGATCCTTACTCATCAACTCCTTACCAGTACATCTAATAAAAGCCATCTGGCAGATTTAGTTTTTAAACCCCTGTCCTTGAGTCTCACTTGCCCTCTGGAAACAAGATGAGCAAAGAGTGACAGAGTTGAAGGTTTGGTATTGGGAGAAGAAGGCCTCCAGGAGATGGAGAACCTAACAAGCTGGAGAAGTTACACCTATGCGCAACTTGCTTGACAAAGTTTCTTCTCCACCACTGTATTTGTAGCCTTCCAGAAAAGAAAAAGATGCTCAACCTATTATTTTCAGTTTGATAAGCAACATACTTTACCTGTCTCTTATATTCAGATACTGGATCATAAACTTTCCAGCCATTAATTGGAAATTTTTCTTTATAGTTGAATGCAAATAGTGCCTGGATATAAAAACCACAAAATACATGTCAGTATCTCTTTTTTACATCATATACTCAATATTAAAGCTTTTAATTCTGGTAAGAGCTTAATGTATTAAGATTTCTATTTTCTGTAAATTTTGAAGCAACAAATTAGCAGCTTTTCTTAATCACTGCACAGAACTGAAATATTCCAAATATTCTAATATTAGTTACCAATAGAGGAAAAAAAGAGATAAAGAAAACCTCTGGAAAAACAATTAAACATAAAATTTGGGAACCCACCCCCCACAAATACATGCAAAAAAAGGTTTACTTTGGTGTATTTACCTGCCCATTGGAAAGGGGAAATGCATGTTTGTTGAGGTTTTCGAATATCCCTAGTTTACTCTGTTCTTCCTGTTTGTAAGCAAGTCGTAAGTTCCTCATATCCTGTTAAACAATTAGCAAAACTCAGTTACTCAACATATATTGAGCACCTAGGAGCCAGATACCATACCATAGATCAGTAAATATTTTTATTCATTTCTCATTTTATATTCTATCTTCTATATTCAATTTAACAACAATACCTGCAATAAGATAAAAAAGAAATTGAGAAAACTGGAACAAAGGGGACATATGCAGGGAAAAGTTCATCAGATCGAACCAAGAATAAGGCTCATACACAAAAGTTGTGCCAACAAGTCCTGTGCACTTACTTGCTAAAGGTGTGCTAAGGAATGAATTGTGCTTTTTAAGCTGGCAAAAGAGTCAGTTATAGAATTCACACCATCCATAAAACAGAAATGTGGCAGACGCTTCTCCCCTGCACACTCACAGAAAGGACTCTGGATCATGTAGACTGTGCCCTCAGTAACATCCTAATAGACATATAATGCTGTTTCTCCAGACCACAGTTTCTTAAACTGCCCCCAATGCAAGCTGAAGGCCAAAAACCCAAGCACAAGTCAGCAGGAATGATTCCCCTAAGGCCAGCTCTGATGGTATGGTTTCTTCCCGGGACAGTGTTTTGAGAAGTACCTCTCAACGTTTTAAAATCTATGCCCCTGTTAAACACAAAACCTCATTCTTCTTTAACATTATATGAAATTTGAAAATATGACAACAAACTAAAGCAAAAGCAATTTGAGAAGTGAAGTTATTGTTATATTATTTATAACAGCAAAAGAATGGAAATAACCTAAATGTCCATCAATAGGGGCCAGCTAAGGTAAACTACAGTACAGCTAATGGAATCTTAAAGAGCTGTTAAAAACAAGCAGCAGCTCTTATATGTATTGACATAAAGAAGTTCCAAGATGTATTGTTAAGGAAAAAAAGAAAGGAGTAGAATAGTATATATGATATACTACTATTTATATTTTCAAGGAAAGACTACACACATATACATGTATGGTCTTTAGTGTATCTTTGGAGGGGTACATTAGAAATTGGTAACAGTGGGTGCCTAAAAGGAGTGGAACAGGGTGGCTGGGTGTTGAGTGGAGGGAGATTTATTTTTTACCATATACAGCTTTTGTACCTCTTGAATTATGTATGACCTGTTAAAATCAATTAACCCTATACCTTGCAAGGTTCTTAGGCATGAGCTGAGAGGGTTGGCAGGCATGGCCTTAGTAATTCTAGGCTAGAGAACATTTAAAGGAGTTGTTAGAAAATGCTCACCGCAGCCATAAAAATATCTTTGTAAAACAGCTACAGGACACCTGCCTAAGTAACATAATTTCCTGACTTGCTCTCCCTCCAAGCTACGCTGGCTACACACATATACCTCAGTAGCTAACTGAGCTGACTTACTATTTAGGATTGCCTAGAAAGAGAAGCATTACAAGCAAAGACAGAGCATGTGCAAAGATCCTGGTGTGTGTGTGGCAGGGGGAAAGAGAGGGTATGAGATGAGTATGAGCAACTACAGGAAAGCCAACATGACTGGGATGGCAAGAATGAGAAGAGGGCAGGCAGCTCAAGATGAGGCTGCAAAGGAAATAAGTCAGGCTCAGACACATGGGGTCTTGATAAGGAGTTTTCCTTTAGCCTAAGGATAATGGGAAACTACTCAAGATTTGGAAGGTGAATGACATACTTCAAAATTGCAGAACTGATCAAGTCACTCCCCTCTGCTTTAAGTTCTGTAACTGCTTGCCATTGTTCTGCACATGGAACCCTGCCTGAGAAGGACAACTAGAATTTACCAAAGGAGACAACTGCCACATAGCGCCTAATGTGAGTCTAGTAAGCCATTCATGATCTGGAAGAGCAAAGGGTTCTCTGAAAAGCTGGATTCCAGTGCAGTCTTGTATCAACCAGAGGGCGCTGTCCTCATAGATCTGATCAAAGCAAATAGATCAACAGGAATCCAAACCCAAAATTTGGAAGGAGACTTGATTCTTTAGGCAAGATCTTTCCTGGTACTTCAGGTAGGGTTTTTAGTAAATTGTATTACATGAGGTAAAGTCATTGGGAATAAAACATCAGTAAGAGTGTTTCTTAAATGATTTCATGATTAAAGTAATCATATATATTTCTACTTAACTGTTGGAGGAAGGGTTCAAAATCAAAAATAAGTACAGCTCAAGATGAAAATTCCAACATAGCCAAGGAATTTAGTTGCATTTTTAATCACAGAATTTATAAAACATTGCTGTCCCTTTAGGGAGTCTTTGATCAGCCACTGTTCTGAAGAATAGTCTTAAAACAACAAACTGGAAAAATATATTGGTCTCTGCTTTCCACTTGATTTCTCTGAGATGTAACAAATAATGTCAGCACTTACGTTATATGTCCAGGTTATTTAGAAAAATAGTCAGCCCTCTGTATCCATGGGTTCCACATACATGGAGTCAAACAACCATAGATGGAAAATATTTGGAAAAGAATGAATGGCTGCATCTGTACTGAGCATGCATACACTTTTTTCTTGTCATTATTCCCTAAACAATACAGTATAACAACTATTTAGCTAGCATTTACATTGTATTAAGTATTATAAGTAATCTAAGATGATTTAAAGTATACAGGAGAATGTATGTAGGCTATATGCAAACACTATACCATTTTATATAAGGGACGTAAACATTCGTGAATTTTGGCATATGCCGGGGGTGAGGGGGTCCTGGAACCAATCCCCCATGGATGCTGAGGGATGACTATACTTCAAAAGAAAATAAAAGGCTTACTTCAAGGGGTTACACAATGGTTTGAATTTGTTGATATGAGATTTGAAGAGGTCACTGTCCTGAAAGCATGCAAGTTACTAACAGCACAAATTAATCCACTGTCCAAAGACCATGAAGAATGAGTCAGAAAAAGTTCTGAGCCTATCATCCCCTTTTAGCTTTCACTGGTGTTTGTACTATACCTTGCACACGATCTCTATGCCACAAGAATTATCTCCATGGCTCTGTGCTCCAATCTTCTCAACTCTGCTGATCACTCCAAGGGGAACATCAAGGATGAAATGTGGATCCTAGGTTTAAAATTAACGCCTATCAGTCAACTGAGTTTTCATATCTTAAGTCTTTGCTGGGTTACAAAACATGTTTGTTTACTTTGCATTTCCTCTGTGTCCCAGCTAATATACTGAAGTCTGATTTATAGCATGCATTAGGAAGTATATATTGAGAGTACAATGAAATTTTCCCTTCAAGTTAAGTGGTACCTTAACAGCCTTTTTTTCAAGATACAAAATCTGTTTGCAAATGTGCACACCTTAAAACCCAACCTTTGGCTATCTCAGGGTGATGGGATTTTAGGAGATTTTTTACCTTTTTCTTCTAGTGTTCCAAAGTGTTTTTAAAAATAAAATACACTTTTAAAAACTCACCCTCTCTACACTTTTGAAGTACATCTTAAAGTCCGTCACTGTCAGGGTTCCACTCACTGCTCCCATAAATGGGCAGATATACATGACATCTTTCACTGAAAGAAAAAACCCAAAATAGCAACCACTGCCATAGACTTGTGCTTTAATAAATCTTAACATGAGTTTCCAAACATATATATATTTGTGATTCCAGTTTTCTAGAAATTTTAAATAGAAGAATTATAGCAATTGTTATTTTAAATAAAGACACAGATGGACAGTCTTCTAATATATTTCAATTTTTTAAACAAAATTCTGATTTGCTACTTAATGAAGTTTTAAGTAAAAGGCGTCATATGTTACATTTTGTCATTACTTTTCCATGTAGTTAACATTTTCCCTGGGTGATAAATTAATCATATTCAAAACATTAAACTCTGAAGACCCTAAGCTACCATTTCATAAATTGCTGCAACTTAAAACTAATGAAAGCTAAATGCTGTCCTCTAACACATCTCCAAAGGAAACTACTTTACAGATGACAAAAAGTAGAACCACATCAATTAAGTGGAAAAAGACTTGTTTCAAATTCCTTATCAATTTTAATTTTCTTTTGGTTAATATCAAAGTGTACAATGTATTTAATTCCCATGAACATTAAATAGCTCACATCTAGCACAAATACACATCTTCATGATTTTCCCAAAGTTCCATTCCATTGGAATGACAGGAACATACATCGCTACAGATGTGTCCAAGTGAGACAATGAAGGTAGTAAAGTTGTCATTCAGCCAAGTTCTCAAAACACTTCATTTAAACTTTTCTAGAGCTTGTTATGTACTGAGTGCCCTCTATTGTTAGGGTTCGAGGTATAACTGGACACAGTTCCTGCCTATAAGCAGGCCATGACTCATGAGAGATACTATACAGAAAAATCACCATTATACTATAGCCTGATAAATGCTATAATAATGATGTGTACACAAAGTGATAAAAGCTCAGAAAAGGATCAATTTCACTCAGCAGGAAAGCGGGTAGGGGGAAAGAGAGATGAAACGGAAGAAGGAAAGAGTAGCACACTGCTAGAGGTCAGTATGGCTGGATCAAAGGGGATAGTGAAAATGATGGAATATGAGGCCAGAGAGGTTGAGGTTGAGGCAGTGAGTGGATCAGGAAGTGCTTTCATAGGATACTAAGGCATTATTATCATTATCCTTGAAAGGTAATTGACTTTTTACACAAGAATAAAAACAATGTATTGTGGAGTTTATAACATATGTAAACATAAAATAGATGACAACAATAGCATAAAGGCTGGGAGCGGACAAGTGGTAGTCTACTATTATAAAGTTCTTATGCTACATATGAAGCAGCATAAACTTATTTGAAAGTAGACGTAAAGCAATCAGCAAAATAACAAAATGAAGAATTATAGTTAATATGTAAACATAGGACATAAAATGGAATCCTATAAAGTACTCAATTCAACCAAAAAAAGAGGAAAAAGAGAACAAAGAACAAATGGGACAAAGAAAAAACACTTATCAAGATGATAGATTTAAACCTAATTATATTAATTATATAAAATGTAAAAGGTCTAAACACCCCAATTTAAAGGCAGAGATTATCAAATTGAAGATAAAAGAAAGACCCAACTATATGTGGCCTGAAAAAGACCTACTTTAAACAGAAAGACACGAATAGTTTGAAATTCAAAGGATGAAAACACCTTTGCAATTCAAAAGTATGCTAATATTAACTAAAAAAAAAGCTGTAATGTCTATAATATCAGGCAAAGTAGATTTCAGAGCAAACCATATTACCAGGACTAAAGAAGGTCGTTTCATAATAATATAGGGGCCAATTCATCAGAAGGACATAATAATCCTAAACATTTATGTACCTAATAACCAAGCTTCAAAATACATGAAGCAAAACTGATAGAACTGTAAGGAGGAACAGACACATCCACAATTATAGGCAGATTTCAAAACCCCTCTCTCAATAATTGATAGAAGTAGACAGAAAATGAGTAAGGAACACAGAAGACTTAAAACACCACCATCGACAAAACCTAACTGACGTTTATAGAACACTACTTAACAACAGCAGAAAACACATTCTTTTCCAGTGCACACAGAACATTTACCAAAAGAGACCATATTCTGGGCCATAATAGAAGTCTTGATAAATATAAAAATATTTAAGTCATACAAAGTATCTTTTCCGAACACAATGAAAGTAGAACTCAATAACAAGAGAATTTGGGAAATTCACAAATATGTGGCAATTAAACAACACATTCCTAAATAACACAAGGGTCAAAGAAGAAATCGAAAGGGAAATTCAAAAGCATTTTCAACTGAATAAAAATAAAAAACACAAGGTCATAATTGGTGAGATGCTGCTAAAGTAGCACTTGGAAGAAATGCCTATACTAGAAAAGAACAAAGGTCTCAAATCAATGACTGCAAGAAGAAGAGTGAATTAAACCCAAAGCAAGCAGAAGACAGGAAATAATAAAGATCAAAGTAGAAATCAATGAAATAGAAAACAAAGAAAATAATAAAACCAAAAGCTAATTCTTCGAGAAGATCGATAAAATTGATAAACTTCTAGCCAGACTGACCAGGGGGAAAAAAAAGAGAGAAGACATGCACATTAACTATCAGAAATGAGAAAGGGTGATGTCACTACAAATTCTACAGATATTAAAGGAATAAAGAAATATGATAACTAATAATTTGACAACTTAGATTAAATGGACAAATTCCTAGGAAGACAAACTACCAAAGAAGGAAAAAACCACCTAAATATTCCTATAACTACTAAAGAAATTAAAATTATAGTTAAAACCTTCCCACAAGGAAAACTCAAGGTCCAGGTGGCTTCACTGGTAAACTCTACCAAATAGTCAAGGACGAAAAACTCTTCTTGATAGAAGTAGACAGAAAATGAAGAGGAAGGGGGGAAGGAGGGAAGGAAGAGGGGAAGGGAGAGGAAGGAGGGGAGAAAGGGGGAGGGGGAGGAAGGAAGTGGGGAGGAAACTGAGGAAGAGAGAATAATTCTCAATTCATTCTATGAAGCCAGCATTACTCTGACACCAAAATCTGACAAAGCCATTACAAGAAAACCTCAGACCAATCTCTCTCAGACCAATATCTCTTATAAATATTGATGCAAAATAATATTTTAATAAAAAATAATAAATCAATACCAGCAATATATAAAATGAATACATAATAAGCAAGTTGAGTTTATCCTGGGAATGCAAGGCTGATTTAACATTCAAAAATTAATTGATGTAATCTACCATATTAAAGAAGAAAAATTACAGGATTATATCAATAGATACAGAAAGAGCATTTTACAAAACCTAACATCCATTCCTGATAAAAACTCTCAGCAAACTAGAAGGGAACTTCCTGAACATGACAAAGGGCATCCACAAAAAACCTACAGGCTAACATCATAGCTAATGATGAAAGATCAAAACCTTTCCCAAGCTTTCCCAACCATACAAGAATGTCTGCTCTTACCTGTTCTCTTTTAGTATTATACTGGAGGTTCAAGCAAGAGCAGCAAAGCAAAAAAAAAAAAAAGGGGGGGGGGCATTCAGATTGGAAAGGAAGAACTGGAATGCTCATACACGGCTGGTGGGAACATGTACTGGTACAATGTACAACCACTTTGGAAAACACTTAGCAACTTCTTAAACTAACTATATACCTACCATATGATTCAGCCACTCCATTCCTTAGGTATTTACCCAAGAGAAAAGGAAATACACATCCATACAGACTTGCATATTAATGTTCATTGCAGCTTTATTTGTAGTGCCAAACAGTAGAAACCCAAATATTCACCAACAGATGAAGGGATAAGCAAACTGTCATGTATCCATACAATGGAATTATGTTCAGCAATAAAAAGGAATAACTGTTAACCTATGCCATGATATGGATGAATATCAAAATAATTGTTTGATTGGAAGAATCTAGACAGCAAAAAGAACATACTCTATGATTACATTTCTATAAAACAGCAGAAAATATAAACTAGTGTATAGTGCTTGGGGAAGGGGGAAATGGCATGGGAGGGAGGGATTATAAAGGGGCATAAAGAAATAGAAACTTCTGGGAGGTGATGGATATGTTCATTACCTTGACTATGACGATGGTTTCCCAGGTATATACCGTCAAAACTCTTCACATTCTGACAATGACAAACTGAAATAATACTCCATAGGGAATACTTTACAATGACCTATTTTAACACTCTGCCTCCAGGAATATATTTTATTTAAAAGCAGAGGTTAATTTACTTACCCTTTGCAAGCCACTGGAGGAGCATAAGGCATACTTATTTGCTTAAGGACTTGCAGATGTTCTTAACATCTAACTCTAAGATATTTCCAGTAACGGATTGGAATGGGGTCAGGTGGGAGCTTCCTTGTCTCTGAGCTCTGTTTCCACAGTGAAAGGAAAAGCAAACAGGAGAGAGTGAGAACTGGGACCACACCTGGATCCACTGAAGCCTTCTCTTCTTACTAGGACAACTGTGAGCTTGCAATCCAAGCTTTTGTAATACTCCCTGCTAATTCAAAATGTGTCTTTGATGTAGAAAGTGATCAACCTAGACCAGCTCTAATCTCTTCTAAGTTAATTTTGGCCCACTGATAAAGATAAAAATAAAGTTAAAAAAGAAAACCTTCTTCACATTGTACACTTAAAATCTGTGAGGTTCACTGTCTGGAAAAGCAGCAGGCATATGACATAATTAGCTCTGCATTTTAAACAGATCATTGAGAAAGCAGCATGTGAGCAGGGCTAGAACAACACCCACCCAGAGAAGGAACAGAGAGGCCAGAGGACATACAGAAGAGAATGAAGTCCCAGAACCCAAGGAAAGAAAGAATTTCAAAACCAAGGACAAGGATAGGATAAGCATGGTCCAGAGGCAGAGACTAGGATATGCAGCAGTAGCAGTTGTTTGGAGGTTCTGGTAGGAGAGCCCAGCTACTCAAACGTTCTTGACACAAATGATCATACTCTGAGACTGAACACACATCTTTGGGAGGGAGCCACGAAGGAAAAAGGAAACACTCAGCCTAGAGAGCCAGACTGTCCAATTCAACCAATTGAAAAGATGAAAAAGTCACACCCAGCTGTCCCTCTCATCTACCCATGGCACAATCAACTGCCTCCTGAAAGGCCTGGCAAACACCATGGAGGACTGTGGGAGCCCTCATGTCACCACCATCATAAGCCAGCATGGCAACACATGCCTTTTTCTTGCACTAAAATTGTACTTTTGGGAATCTTATAAGCCATTAAAATTTCCTTGCCAAGTTCTCAAAACTGTTATTAAAATATGATATGGATCTTCTATCAATACATTTTTCTTACACTGAAGGATTCCAACAAAGCAGTGAACTGACATTACATTGAGTGTCTGATCAGCTTCCAGTTCATCACAAAAAGTCAGGCCCTTCTGTTGGAAATGCCATCAGATACTCAATCGGAGCTTAATAGGATCCTCTATAATTTTCTGTTAGGTCATGATAACACTAATAAGAATGAATAGATCGAGTACATTTGTCCCCTAATTAAATTGGTCTGGCTGATCTCCAGCAAATACATCACCTGTGTTGGAAAATAAAGGGCCATTTCGTTTTATGGATTTCTATAAGCAAAGTGTACACATTAAACTTACCAATGGCTTTAATTGATTCTCCTGGAAAAAGTGGTGCTTCTTCCATCTGTGCCAGCTTATTTCCATCCCTTAGAGCCTGGGGAAGAATCAAACAGGAGTAACTCTCACTTTCCATCTGCATACCTGAGAAGAATTTTGGTGTTCTGTGCTGTCGCTATAAACGTGCAAATGTAAGCCCCCTTCCCCTTAAAAGACAATTTCAAAGCTTAGCATCACAGGACATCATGCTGCATATTCTAGCAAATTGTTACAACATATTTAAATTTCACAGTTAGAAAGCATTAATACAGAAATGGCTTGACATGACAGATAAATACTATAATTACTACATAGATAGCTATCATAAGGTGCCTCTAGAATTTGGAAATAAGGTCACAAAAAGGTTACCTTCTGAGCGTGAAACTAATACAAATAAAATCAACACTAGATATGGGTGCTTAACTAGCTGTAGAAATAACCTAGCCTATGAGATAGTTTGGGAAAGCCCGAAGTCTAATTAAAATAACTAGGGAATGCTTTCAGGAGAATATATAATTAAGGAAAGCCCTAGGCTTTGGTACTGAAGCCAGTTACCTGTGTGTGTGTGTGCACGCACACACACAGGTGGACAAGGGACATGAAGACTGAGATTGTCAGTGTTTGCCCAGAGTACTCTCTCATCTGGCAGACAAGAGTATTTCAATCCATACTGCAGAGCAGGGTGTGTTCATCAGGCATCTCCCCAAGCCAATTCACTCTGCACTCATTTCACACTCACCAAGAAAATTGCTAGTGATTTACTAGGTTTTTTGGCTACCATTTTACTAGGAAAAGGATGCCATGAATGGCTGGAAAGACACATTACCACATTTTTAAATGACCAGATTGGTACCACAGCCCAGTAGCCAGTCTCTTGTTAGTCTAGTTGGATAGTGCTGGATAACTCAGGGCAAGTGAGAAAATGGTGTTCTTGAACTACAAAGCTAGGGACAAGAGCCTGAACTCGGGGCCTATTCCAAGGTACCGCCACCCACTATGAGATGCTGCCAAGGAAACCAGTCACTTTCTCCTTGGCGTTTCTGACTTAATGTGTCATGAATAAGAATAAGGTGATCATAACCCCAGCGATTCCCAAGCTGTCTTTCATAAATCATTAGTTTCCCAAGAGACGTGACTAAGTCTTTTTGTTGTTGTTAAGTTTGGAAAATGCTGGGTTAAACAAAACAAGTTAAGCTGTTTTTTTAGCGAGACAAGTCTTTAGTGTGTTAATGTACACTGAATCAGCAAGAGGGCGCTAGAGTATAATGCATTTCTCATACCTAGTTTATCAGGGACTGCTTTTTCCAAGGAACACCTGTTAACATCGGAGGCCACTAGTGTTCAGTGGAAAACAAGTCGGACAATATCAAGTTTTCAGCATAATTTTGTAAAGCAAAGTATTTTAAAATGGATGTCTTTTATAATTCTAAGTTATTGAAAATTCAACATAAACTATTTTTCAAGTTATCAGAATATGTCAATATGTTTTATTAAAGGGACTTACTTAATGGTCAATTTAGAAACACTAGTAGTTTCATCAAATTTTATAAGATACAGGAAAAAAGTCAAACTATAAATAGCAAAATTAATGCTAAATGTTCATCAGAGGTATGTCTGTTCTCTACTGGGAGAGCACAAAATGACATGGTCCTTCCTCCTCATCAAAAGATACATGGTTAAAATAATATAGATTAGCAGTCATCATTACCTCCAAACAACTTATTCAATTTAAAATTTTCATCTACATTGTTTTTAAAGATAGTTTCAGCCAAAATTTTTTTGGGGAATTAACACATTAAAGGGGATGTGGAGAACAATTTATGGCTTCAATTTTATACTCACATCTGATTTGGAAATATATCTCTTATACAATAAAGCCTAAACCAACATATTTTTAAATGTCCAGTTTTAGAAACACTAAAAGATCTTAATAGAAGCCTTAATTTGAGTCTGCTTTAATTTGTTGCCTAAACTAGTGACTAATTTTATAACATAGTTAGAAAGTGAGAAAGCTATTTTAATCAATATCGGAGGTTTAATTTACTTCAAATATTATATTGTTAAAGCTTATTTTAATGGCTAAATATTACTATATATCATACAGAATTTCTCAACTTATATTTTAAAATAAATGGAGATTATTTTGAAATATACTTACTAACACAAACTACTGTAATCAACTGAATCTGGAGCGGATTGGGAAGATATGGCTCACTTTAAGTTTTAGAGCAAGCAACAAACATTTTAAAGTCCTCAACCCAGGACTAGCTAACAAAATGTTGCAGATGGGAGATGGAGGTGATTTGGACCATTTTAAGAATGCACAAGGCTCTCAAGATAGAGGCTGAAAATCAAACTTTTTTTTTTTCTTTTCCCATAGTCATGTCAAGTTTGGCTTGAAACATCTGTGCATTTATATGAGGCATGAATGTGTTGGTGAGACATAGTAAGACGAACTTCTCACTAGTGATAATTAAATCTGGGACATGCTTTGTAAATGATGAAAAAGCAACTATCAGAATGAAACGAATGATCTGACTGCTTCAGATTTCCCCACAAAAGGTTCATTTTGTAAAAGAAACACATTTAGCTTTAGCATAGGAGCTTAAGAGGAGAATAGTTTTTAAAGGCTTGTTGTTTTGTTTGTTTTGGTGAGTACAGCAGATTCCCTTTTATAAAACTGGTGTTAGGAGATGGGACTCACACTTACGCTATATTAAGCTTTTACTGTAACTACCAGGTTACACACGACATAATTTGACCCTTGATTTATCCAACCCATGTTCAGCACAATCAAAGGATGGAATATTTTTGCCAACTAAATTTGATCTCATAAACACACCTATTCCTCTTGGTGCCTTTGCTCAAAGGTTGCCCAGCTGAGGAATTCCCTCTGATAAGCTTATCCCAACCTTGTTCCAGTGACCCTGAAGGTCCAGCTGACATCTGCCAGCTCCCTGAGTTTGTCCCTGAGGGCTCCAGCCACCTGGATGACCCTGGCCTCTCCCACTACTTTTCTCCTCCACCTAAATCTAAGCTGCCAGGTGGATAGTTTATATAATGGCTGCATGCCAAAAGCGGTGGTTTTCAAACTGGGCTCAAGATGCTTCCAGGGTCACTAAAGGAGGGTAGGGCTGAGTGGTGGCAGACAAATACACAGCTGAGCATCTGTGGCTTGCCATGCTTCCCTGAAGCTGCTCTTCTATTGATTTCACATACTGAATTTCTACACAAGCACTGGGGAAAGTACTGCTGCTTTAGAAAACTCCAGCAAGGGTCTAAAGGTACTGAGCAAAGAGTAAACACTGGACAATACCCAGTGAATAATTCCGTGTTCTGATTAATAAATATAAAATATATGTACTCATTATATAAATACCTACAAGGTACCAGGTACCATACTGGGCACAGACCATATAAATTTGAATAAAGCAACGTCCGCACCTTCAAGTGGCACCCTTAGCATGTGTATCTGTCCCCTCTATGTCTTTGGAAAGGGACTGCAGAATCCTACAGTGATGGAGGGTCATTAAACTCATCAATAACCCTAACTGGGGAAACAAAGAAGCACAGATGAACAAATTTCTGGTTGACAAAATGTTGGATAAACCAATTTTTGCAAATAATGTCATGATGGAATCTACCAAATTTGAACAGGAGGGCACTATTGTAGTGGTAAAAGCATCTGGAAAGCTTTGCTTATCATCTGGAAATCTAGTATGAAATGGCTTCTAAATACATGATCTGTAGCTACAAACAGATGAACACGTAGAACTTGCCACCTGATCAGCTTCAGCTTCAGAAGGGTAGCCATTGTGTTCTTCCTGAATCTCCTGCACAGCACCAGGTGCATGGACAAGAAAAGGCAAAGAGGAGAAAGAGAAACACGTGCAAACAGACAGGTGAAAGGACAGAATTTCTTTTTTAAAGAGACAGTAAGCATGTAAAAGTCGACACACCTTTCACGGCTTTGCAAATCACAACATTTTCCCCCTTGGAGTTAAGGAAATAACGTGTAGGCCATCTATAGCATCCTCAGCCTAAAATGGAGTATCTATTCTGTGTTTGTCTTGGGGTAGAAAAATGAAAAGCAAACAAACATCACAGATTTCAAAGAATGCACTATCTTTTTAAAAATCAAGCAATACTATAGCATATAGCAAAGAAAAATAACAGGCACATAATGTACTCACAGAAAATAAAGCATCCACAGAAACCAGGTAAAGGGCAAAGTCAAGCCAAAATACAAAGGCCATTCATAGGCATGTATTTGAAACACAGTAAGTATTCAAATACTCTAAAGAACTATTATATTGCCCAGGGATCAATTCCACTGCATGCATGCAAATATCACATGCTAGAGATTTTACATATATATATATATGTACACACACACACACACACAAATGTTATTGCTTCTTGCTAATGTGATTTATGAATCAATATCACATTAAATATTTCTAATTACTTTAACAACATGCTTCAAAGAAACAGCTAAGAGGTCACACAGCCTTATTTAAATTTTTTCCAATCCCTTTAAAGGTATATTGTTCTTAATTTTTTCATAAATTTTTTTAAACTTTAAAAATTGGACTTTTATTTCAGCAGGTGGTATAAAGAATATGCATACTGAAGACAAGACTACAACTCCTTTCTAAAGTTGTATCAAGTCTCTGAAGCATAAAATATCAAAATTTGGCACAGAGACATTTTTGCTCCATGACACTTTGGTTCTAATGACTATATTTCTTAAAAAGGCAACTAGTGAAGAAACAGTAAAAGTTTTAAAAGAATTTACTATTTCCCACCTTTTGTTTTTGTCAATAAAGTACAATAACTACTTATCACATTTTTATACTTTATCCTCAGATTTAATTTAGCACACAGTTGGCACAGCTACCCTTCAAGGCAGTGTAATTTTTTTTTTTTTTTTTTTTTTTGAGACAGAGTCTCACTGTGTTGCCCTGGCTAGAGTGCCGTGGTGTCATCCTAGCTCACAGCAATCTCAAACTCCTGGGCTCAAGCGATCCTACTGCCTCAGCCTCCCGAGAAGCTGGG